CTGTCTGGATCCCCCCCGCGAGCGAGAGGGAGACTTGGTCATCTTCGCGCATTTGCATACTTCGCAGAATGGATTCTTTGGCTGGTGTGTCATCAGGTGCTTTCGTGATGCTGCTTCCTGCCTAAGGGCGCTTTCTGCAAGTGACCTAGGACTTTTCTTATCGGGGTTGCCAACAACATCTTCCCCTGCCAAATCTTTACTCTCCATCGGCTCAGCAGGTTCATCTGGAATGACTTCAACGGGGTCATTCGCCAGAAGCTCGGCGACAACTCTAGCATGCACCTCAGGATCTTCTAGAGGGGCAATGCTAGGCGTATACTCTTCTTCCGCGGCATCTTCGGTTTGCACGGAGGAGGAGTATGATGATTCGCTAGGTGAATTGTTTCTGGCGACCTGACCTTCCGGTCGGCTTGGCGGTGTTCCTCTGGCGGGACACGCACATGCTGAGTCGCTATCCCACACGTCGTAGTACGGGACATAATCTCGAACTTTGAGATAAATTCTCGTCCCATCAGGCTTGACAAAGAAAGGCTTCTCTTTTGCATGCCAGATGAAGTCATAACCCTGATTCATGCACTTCAAACCTACGGAGAGAACAGAGGGTGTTTGCGGCAATAAGTATGGATCCGTGTTCCCAAGGTCACCTGCGGCCATGTAGGCCTGCTTTGACGAATCACTTGGTCCATTGGCAGTCATCAACATCACGGGGTCATTTGAATTATAAATTGCATATTCGGGGCAATTCGCACGAGTGAAAAGGTCGGTCCCACTGCCAGTGTCAATAATCCATGAACAGTTCGGAGAAAATCTCTTGCTCGCCATTGCGGGCTTTGCGTGCATATCTCTCGGGGCGCATTGGTCGCATCCGATCTCGCTGTCACATTCATACTCGCATCTAGTCGGATGGCCTTCCAATTCACGCCTCACGATGAAGGCGAGCATGGTTGCTCCAAGTCTCGCATCATCTATGCTGACTTCGTCATGGAAAAACTGATGGTCGATTGGGTAGACCTTTGAATACACGCGCGGTTTGTCCGCGATCTTAAACTGCTCACCATGTGCTGGTATCCGATTCATTTCAACCTTCGAGCTGAAACGCACACTTGGAAGGGCAGGCATATGCTTCCAGTCCGACATGAGGTTCCCCTCAGCGATAGGGGCGTTCATCATGGAAGACAACAAGCATCCCAACACACAAACAGCAGCAGGGGAAGGCTTTCCGGAAGACTTTCCCTTGTGACCCTTCTTCTTCTCTCCCTTGGAGTCACGGGAAGTGGATCGAGAGGTCGACTTGGAACGATCCCTGCTCGACTTGCGATGCTTCCGGTCCTTTCCCTGCTTCTTTTGCTTGTCTGCGGAAGGCTCCCTTGACCCTGGAACGGCCGGCTTCGGATCGATGTGAGCAAATGGGCAGTTTTCACCACGGTCACATCTCCCCTTAGGGTAGAAACGGCACTCTTTCTTTCCCTTTGGGCTGTTCGTTCGGCCTTTACCCTTACCCTTTTTGGGCTTAGCGTCTCTTGATGGGGTCCTACCCCTGGCATCGCCCGATGGCTGTTCATGCTTGTACGTGCAATTGTCCCGCCGACACGACCCATACTTGACAAATGCAATGCAAAACCCCTTAGGCACACGTTGGCTCTCAGCAGCGGGTGCGGCTGGCCTACCCCCGTTCTGCCTAGCAACCCGTTCTCGGTTGCGCTCGAGCCTTGCTCGAGACAGGTATTGCCTCACAGATTCAATCAAGTAGGTGTATGAGTGATCGGCGGACTCTTCCGAGGCGCTCAAATAGACATTCAAATGGTGTTGCATTTGCTTGCTCTTTTTCAGCTGGTTGTAGAACAGAGCCTCAAGCATGGAGTCATCCGGCGTCTTGGCATTCATTCCTGCAAGAACACCCTCCCAGCTACGCATGAAGGAAGTGAGGTTATCGTTCACGAGCCTCACGTTGAGGAGATCCTCCATGGCATAGGTGGCTCCGTGCTTGATGTTCGTGCTCAGGTGCTCATGCACCATAAGAAGCACTTGTCTCCCACGAACTGGATTCCTCTTCTGCGCCTCTATCTCCTTGAAGGTGTCGACTTGTCTCGCCAGGTCACCCTGAATGATGTTGGTGAGGGCGGACAGCAACTTGGCGTCCAATGTGAGGAAGGCACCGGGATCTTTGAGCTCCTCGATTGTGACGGCGGGCTCCCACACTCTGCTGATCCACGTGAAAGCGTCATCAGGGCGGTCGGATGCCGCACATACGGCTTCCCGCACCTTGATGCGCCAATTCCTGTAACTCTCAGGAAGTGGGAAGGATGGAACAACAATCCTCTCCGCCTCCTTGACCTTGGGCTTGTCATGGTCTGCGTCCACTGCGCTCGCCTGCTTACCCAAGATCTTGTTGAGCTTCTTGCGGATCACTCGTGCCTTCTCCGATGATGATGATGAGGATGATGATGTTGAGGAGCTGGATGATGAAGAGCTTGGAGAGTCGGAAGGAGACCCACTCTTTCGCTTCTTGTGGCTCTTCTTCTTCTTCTTCTTGTCCTTTTTGCTCTTCTTCTTTTTATCCTTCTTCTTCTTCTTCTTCTTGTCCTTCTTGCTCTTCTTCCCATCGTCATTCCCATCGTCATCGTCGTCGTCAGGATCATCGTCATCATCGGGGTTACCGGCAGGTGGTTCCCCACCGCCTCCGCTCTGGCCATTCCCTGCGCCTGATGGACATCCGCCACCATCGTTAAGGTCCTGTGCCGGAGATGTCGGTTCGTAATCCCCGGCATCCCCGTCAAGATCATCGGCGGCACCTGGCCCGTCACGGCGGAGTTCGGTGGAAGCTGACCTGACACGTACCTTAGAACTAAGATCCAGGCCAGGGGGAGGAAACGTCTGTACAGGAGAGGCCTTTGGCCTCAGACCGAAAATCGGAACATTAGAAGAACTACTCTGCTCACTGCGAGATTTCAGTTCATGACGTAGTGCCTCAATGTCCCTCGACTGCTTCATGATAATCTCCCTCATTTCAGCAGCGTTCCTGTCCGCATCCTCCTTCTGCTTGTTGTGGGTGACTTCCCAAATCAATTTGAGCCGTTCATACTTCTGTTCAGCTTCTGAGCGTTGAGCAACCCACTGCTGTCTTGCCTCGTTAAACTCTCTTTCTTTCGCCATTGCCTCTTGTTGGCATACATTGATGTGGTTCACCGCGTCCTGATAGAGTCGGCCTTTTTCCTCAACATGGCCGGCTTGGAGCTGATTGATGATGGCGTCGTGGCGCGCCGAAGCATAGGCAGCCACATCCTCTGTACTCGGACCTGTGTTGACCACATTTACCGTCTGGCTATGTTGATATATGTTCGGGGCGCTCACATGATGTTGATGAAGGTGAGTCTCATTCTTAGTCATGTGCGCGTGCATCTCTTGCCCAGGTTGATGTCCGGCGAGAGGTTCCCCTCCGCTTCCCATCGAATCCTCCGGAAGAACGACCGATGTGATGGGCACAAGCGCATCACCTTGGTCGGATTCAGGAAAACTGCTTCGGGAGCGCTGTGACGGATTGCATGGCGGTTTCCCTTCCGGATGCCCACCCTTGATCAATTCGTTGGCCACTGCTTCGTTCATCCTTGCTATGGCAGGGTGGCATCCGTCGCCGCTTGACGCCATTGCGGCGCGGGTGAGAGCTGACTGTACAAGGTACCAGCGATACGGCTGATAACCTGTTGAAAGGTGGGATCTACCTAAAAGTCAGCACGGGCAGCAGCTTGTTTTTCTTGAGCCATTGTCATGTCAGTATGCCATTACCTATCAACAAAGCGTTGGTAACTCAGGAATCGCACTCTATTTTTCAAGCGAGCCAACCAACAAGGACCCCGGGATGCTCCCGGCGTGTCTTGACCGGGACCCAATGGCTGGCTTGCTGGTGGGTGTGCTTTTGGCTTCCCTGCAACACCCCAAAACGAAGGTACCCTCCAAAAAGACGAGCCAACCAACATGAGCCAGGTGGGTTTGACTTTGTTGCTGCAACGACCCGTGGCAAAAAGTGAACCACCGTTTGTGGGTCTAGTGGAAAACCCAACTTGATGTCAACCAAAAAGTTGAAGTCTAAAGATCCAACCCAATAGCAGTCAAGATGGGCCTCAGAATACTGGTTTAGAAGGCCCTCCGAATACCGTGGATGGACGAAAACCTAAGCAACCCAGGATTGGTGACTCCCCCCCAACAACGCTTTTTCAAACTGGTGCAGGATTTCGTCCATCCACAGGATGTCCTTTTGACAGCGCGGTACGGGAACCCCCGGGCCCTGCATAGACCCTCCATTCAAGGGGTCAGCTTTGTTTTGGGCTCCACGCATGAATTTAAACCTGGGAAAAATAGGAGGCCTGCTTTTTGGAAACAGGAACAACCGCCTTTTGGCCTCCTTTTTGGGATGACAAAATGTGGGCTACTCAACACGTAACGGAAAACACCCCAAACTCCCTCCCCAAGTCTCTGGACTTCCGCTTCTGGGGGAAGCATTTTGGTGAGCAACAAGTTTAGCCTTGTTTTGGCTGACCCACTCAAGTGAGAAAAAGGGGATGACCCAAGCTTGGCAGCCCAACGTGCGCCAGAAACCGGATTGATGTTCACAGCTGCCCCAGTTTGTTCATAGGGAGGGGGGGGTGGTTTCCCTCCAAAAAGTGATGGTTCCCCACTAAACCCAGGGACACACCCCTTCCCTCTTTTTATAGACTGGGGTTGATTCATATGGGGTCAACATTGTCCTAAAAAATAGATACATATACGTACAACAATTTCGGAAGAGACCCCGGAAAAGAAGTTCCTCCAAACCTGATGGCTTTTGTTCGTTCCATGTTCGCCAGGGTGCCACGCAAATTCTCCCACTTGGGATTTGGGCTTCCCTTCCGATTTGGAGGGGATCCGGTGTGAAGCAATTGGGTTCTGAGGGGGGTCTGGTTGCTTTTCTTTAGGCCCTGATAGCCACCAATCAGAACCCAATCGCCCCAAAGAACCCCCCGCGCCTCGCCAGCCTCGTACTTCGCCTCGGCCTCAAGTAGGAAGCTCGAGCAATGCAACGCAACCCAAGGGTCAAAAAAGTACCACCTGAAAGGAATCCCTCCCTTGGACATTGGACATGTGTTTCCAAGGAGGCCATAAGATCATCAAGTCATCAAGGGTGGAAGTGCTGGAAATTGTCAACTAGGCCCTCGACACGACCAGTGCAAATCAGGTTTAGGAACCGACGCTTTTTGAACACTTGGGATTTGAGCATGTGGCTTGAGGCAATCGTGTGCTTCGCTGGAGTGGGATAAGCCACAACTTGGTGGTTGAATCAAATGAACCTGGTTGACCAACTCTGCTTCCCAGATTGCCTCAAGCAAACAACCTTCGGTAGGGACCTGCCCTCATGCGATGGTTTTTCTCTCGCGCCTCTTCAATGCGTAGGCCTGCCCGGAGGAAGCGCTGGATCTCGAAAGCTCGCTGGGTCCTGCGCGAGTTGACTTTAGGTTCTGACCTATCCTTCTTCAAACCGCGGGGTGGGGAGTGGGGAGGGTTTGAGGTCCCTGATCCCCAGTTGCCCAATGGAAACACATATGTCTTAGAACCAATCAGTTGCCCAATACTGTCCTCAAATGGCTTCCATGCAACAAGCGATCCCCAAAAAACCACCCCTGAGAATGTTGGCAGAATGGGGGGGGGGCCTTAAAAAAAATCGGACATCCCCGGTTCTTATAAGGGCTTCCCTTCTGATGCGTTTTGTCATGTGGACCCCACATTAATCAACACCAATCTCTTAATAGGGGGGTGTTTCCCTCCAAAAATCCCCACTAGGCCCAGAAATGGACACCCCCCTATCAGTAAACCGAGCTCGAGGGGGTCAACATTACTAATTACCACTAAACCAACAAAGAAACCCGAAAAACGGAAGGAACCTGCTGCCCGGCAACCAACGAGTCTTTTGGCTTGCACTACCACCCTACCAACTAAACGCCAAAAAACCCCGCGGAACCGGCTGGCTACACGGCGTGCTTCGCTGTTTCCTGGCCATCACTGCTGCTTCATCCAGCTCCGGCAGCGCTTCCACTTCCAAGGCCTCACGCACGAGCGGCCCGACGCGGGCTTCACCCCTCAACCTCGGCTTCCCCTTAGCAAAAAGTGAATAACTTTTAGTGGTTTCATACGGAAAAACCCACTAGTTGGCCAAAAGTGAAAGTTCTAACATCCCTTGGCAACATGCACCAAAGCAAATGCACCACCCTCCAAATGCCCTGCAAAAAAGGGTTGTAGCCCCAAAACTCTGGGGCGAAATCCTTTTTTTCCTGGGAGAGTTGAGGGTCCCGTTATTCTTAGAACCTGCTTCAGGTTTAGAATGCCCTAGTCATCATAGACAGGACATTTGGAGGAGACAACAAAGCGTCCATTCTGGAAAACGGTTTGGATGCAGATCGACTCCTCACTAAAAGGGCACTACACAAAGCAACAGGCGAAACCCGCCAGGAGACGGAGATGGTGCGTCCAGTTTTTGAGCCCCGCCTCAGGCTCGCCCTCCTTTGGAGAGGCGTCCTAGCGAGCGTGCCGCATGGAGCACGAAGATCAGGTGTAGCTTTACATATCCAAAGGTAGCACACATGAGCCTAGGTGTCCTTTTGGAAAAAGGTCTGGTAAATGGAATCAAACCCATCTAAACCAGTGGAACCCTTCCATTTTTTTAACCAAACCTAAAAAGGACACCGACGCACATGAGATTTCGACCAGGAAATGGTCCAGGGCTCCACGTGCTTATTTTTGGTCAGGATTCAGGACGCCCGCATCCCACCTTAAAGCTTCGTTTGTGTTCTGCTTCTGTATATATGTATGTATATATATATATATATCTACAACTGTATTTTTTGGGGGGGCGGATCCCTGTAACAGTCCGGGATGTCGATTCATCCGGGTTGACATGACCTGTAGGCTGCGGCCCTCAGCCTTGCCGAATAGCGTAAAATATCCGGGAGGCCAACTGATCCTCACAATCGCCTTGCTACGCCTTATCCAATTCTGACTCAAAGGGGGAGCCATCGGGTCACCCTTCAAGACCTTCAGTGGCTTACGCAGAGTCACCATCAAGCGGTTGCAATCCGTGCTCTGAATCAGAATCATGATAGGTTGCAAAGTCGTGTCAACACCAATCAAGTCTGATTCAAAGCACATAGTCCCCATCATCAGGCGTTACCCATGGGTCTGAATCAGAATCGCAAGTGGTGTCAACACGCCCTATAAAGGCGGCCGGAGCTTCGTGGAGCTGCAGCTGAGAACTCTATAGCCTGAGAATTGTCCAGACCATGTTCAATATAAGTGGGCATATATATATGTAGTATCACATATGTCAGTATACACATGTATACATATACATATACACATATATGTGTATGTATATGCTATATGTGTTGTGGATGCTATATGTGTTGTGTACCATATGTGTCAGTATAATGCAGATATCATGCCATGAGTACTCCCTAAACACATGTCTACACATATGGATTGTGTGCATTCGGATCTGGACCAGGTCATTCCTAAGCAACAACATCTTGCCTGCATCCCATCAACCACAGTAATCCAACCCGTTCTGGACACATATGCTTGTAAGCAATTGTCCAAAACATGTCATGGTCCCTACTCGCGTGGCTAGGCTGCAAGAGTATCCATGTCTTCCTTTGCTGCAGTTGATATTCCCGACCGTCTTTTGCAGGTGCATATTGTTGTACAGGTCGGCTCATGTTCTTGCTCTCGCATCCGGTGCCGACGCCATTTGACAGCCCCCCCCCCCCCCCCCAATCCTTTTGAATCGAGGGGTTGAAATCCCACAGATTTCCAGGTCATCTGCAATCTCTAGAAAAATTTCAACACCTGAAGTATCAGTTGGCTTCTCAAGTAGAGGAACTTCATGATTATTATTGGTTCGCTCGGTTTATCCCCTGAATTGGCGAGTTCGCCATGCATTTGGGTAAATCATTCGCACGGGATTGCCGGAAAATTTACAATCAAGCTTGGTCATGATCATACAAAAGTGCTAGTCATCAATTTAGCCACTACTAACTCAAACATTCTATTGCCCAGACTCCCAGATGCCATGGCAAAAAAGGGCGCTCTTTGGGTAGATGTCTACAGGGAGCCCAGGGCAGCCCGGAATTCACTCAATCGTTCACTTGAGGGGCTGGCTCGATTTGGCCTCTCAAACTAGGGGGACCCTCAAAATTGAGGTTTCCCTTGAAAAAACCAGGCTAAAAAGAGGCTCCCCAAGAAGAACGCCCGAAAATCCCTGAAGATCCCTGAAGCTGTCGGTGTTCCAGAGGTCACTGGAGGGCCCCTTCAACAGTTGATCAGCTGACCGGTGGGTTCCATTGAAACGATCGCCATTTTTTCTCGGTTGCTTTCTTCTCCCCTGCTAAAAGTTTGGATAACCAATTCGTTGGCAAAACAAATCAAAGTCCTAACATCCCTTGGCAAAATGCGCCAAAGTATGGAGAGGTTCCAAAGAGGGAAGTGGCTCGGAAACCCTGCTGTGCCAGTTGTTCATTCCTGCGCCGCCAGCAGCTCGTCGTCCGGCGGCGCTTGCTCCTCCTGGCGCGCAGGAAGCTTGCGGGCAAAACTCGGCTGGGGGTTTGGAAGGGCGCAAAGAAGCGAAGGATTTTTGAACAGAAATCTGGAGCTGTGCAAAATAGGAGCTGTGCAGACAGGTTTGCTTGTGTTAACAACATTACAGCACTTGCACTTGTGGTAAAACAACAGTCCGATTTTAACGGGAGAGAGAGAGAGAGAGAGCGAGAGAGAAAGAGAGAGAGAGAGAGACAGAGAGAGAGAGGGAGAGAGAGAGAGGGAGAGAGAGAGAGGGAGAGAGAGAGAGAGAGATCCCCCTAGGCCCGCGCTGTTTGGTCTCTCTTGTGGCAATTTTCCGAATGAAACGAGGGATGGGTACATCAAACAGATGTGCAGAGTCTCCTTCGCATGATCTTCCTTTAAGGCACTCACAAAATGTTGATTTTCCGTTAAGCTTTCCTTTCGAAACTTCGCAAGAAGGGGTAGCCTCAAAAAACGACACTCTCACTTAGCCTACAGTAGAATATGGCTGTGGGCAAAAAACAGGTACCCAAATGAAACCCTGGTAAATGAAAACATGGACTAGAACCTGCGGTCCAATTCCTGGTGGATTCATATGGGTGTCTTCGCTTACCGGACCCACAAAATTATAATTCTCCCTTGGGTGTTCCTTTCAAGACACCGCAAGAAGGGGTAGCCTCAAAGAAAACACTCCTCAGCCAAGGGTCAAGCAGTCAGAAGGATACTTCAGGCATTCTCGGCAAGAAATGCTTTGCCAACAAGCATTGAAGAGTCTAAAACGTCCCAAGTGGCCCCTTGCACCCCTAGCTAGAACATAAGCCCAGATCGGCGCAGAGGCGTCAGATCGGCGCCTGAACGCTGAGCTTGCTGCGGTGCAAGTCTTTGGTGATGAGGTCGCCTTCTTTGAGGACCTCGCGAAAGGCCCGGCGGCTAAGCCCAGACCTCGGGAAACCAACTTGCTTGTTTCTTTCCTCGGGCTATGGCCGACTGGACAGGAGCCAAACATGCGGAGATCTAGGGGTTGACTCCTTGTCCATTCTTTTCAACCATCGTTCTTTTCAAAAACCGGATCTGCTTCCCCTGGGGTTTTGGATGGTTTCCTGACAAGAAGGATCCCTATAGGATCGTGTGCTTTTCGGGGTGCAGGACGGGAGCAAGTGCCACATCCACATGAGTCTTCCGCTTGCTCAAGCCCCCTGGAACAACAAGGATGTGATACTCTGGGTGAACGAAATCCTCTTAGGCACCACCTAAGAAACCTGAAATGATGATTCCCCTGTAAATGCCAACAAATGATGGCTTCCCATAGTTTCAAAGTGATGCAGGAGGTTGTCCATCCACAGCATGTCCAGTAGTCATAGGTTCCCCTTAACTTAAAACCAACAGAAAAGCATAAACATACCTGGGCACTCCGGGTGTGCAAAATTTCCGCCGTTTGGCGAAAAAGCAAAAATTTCCGCTTTTTCGTTCAAAAAGCGCTTTTTGACCCAACAACTGCTCTTTTTCAAGATTGCCGCGAAGCGTGTCAGAAAAAGCGTGTTTTGGCTGGGTAAAAGCGCTTTTTGACCGAGGAAAAGCGCTTTTTCAGCACAAGCCCAAGCAAGAAAAACATGCATCAATGGGAAAAGCCCGCATCGAGCAAAAGCGCTTTTTCAGCCAAAAAGCACTTTTTCTTGAAAGAGCACAAAAAAGGCACACCTTGGAGGATCCAGGTATTCTCAAGCAAATGGAAGGAGTTAGTCATCCCCTTGCTTACCCACGTGCAGCGAAAGGGCACCGCTGCAGGTCTAGGGTACGTGTGTGCTAGAACCAAACCAGGCCCTGCGTGCGTTTTGCCCACGGGTTGTTTGCCCAACGTTAAACAGGTGAACAGACTAAACCACTGGCTTACCCAACATTTTGGGTGCCTCTTAGTTTGAAGGAACACTTGAAAAACACAAATCGATGTTCTTGTTCTATTGTGCGGTTTTGGTTTTGGAAGGGGGGAGGAGATTTTCTTTGAGCCTGGCCCCCAAAGCTGGAGGTCCTCGGACCAAGGATCGGCTTGGACTTCCCGACTTCCCTTTTTCGGGCCACTGCGCGCTTGCTCAAATTGCTGACCGTGAGTAGGTTCAGTCCAACTCGCAAAGCAAGGATCAACGGAAAGGTAAGACCTCTTGGTGTGGTAGAAAACAACTGTGTTTTTTGCAGCCCCAGTTGCCATGTGGTTTGCAACTCAGCCCTGGGACAGTGACTAAAAGTCATCTCGAGTCGGGACCCTGAGGTTTCCTCTAGGAGGGTGCCGCTGAACTTTGGACCCAGCTGTCAAGTCGAGTCCATTGAGTGGCCCCCAGCCAAGTCCCCTCAGAATGTTGTGCGTTCTGCTACATAAGCCCCACGCTAACCCCACTGAATGTGGACTGAACTGGAGATACTGACCACATACACCAGGGTGACAGTTTGCAAATCCCCTTGTGGGTAAGTGAAGGGTATGACCGTGACCAGATCAAAATGGGCACATCTTGCGATCTACCTTCACCCAACTGTACCTGACGTGGGGTGGGCCATACCTCCCTTGTGAAACCAGGTAGGAACCGAATCACCTGCTAGAATTGTATTTTGGGGTATTGGGTGCCAAGCAAGGGAACAAGAAACCCCTAATTTGCTGTAATTTAGCGCGTGTTTGGGTTTAAGTGTGGTTGGCTCGCTTCTTGACTGGACTGGCACAGAAAGTTCTGGACTTGTTGTTCACCACTAAAACGGTTCACGCCCAAACCGTTTGAAGTCCATGAACTCAGGAAGTGAGTAAGTTATACAGTGCTCCCTTTTACCCAAAGGAAGCCATGGGAGTTGCGTAGATCGTGACAAAAGATGGCTGGCAACACTCACTTGCCCCTTAGTGACCTGGCAATATCAAAGCTGATCACGTTTTGGGACCTGAACGAAAATTGGATCAACTGGGAAAACCAAAAGGTCACAAGGTCGGCTCTGAACATGGTTCTTGGCATATATATATGTATGATTTTACATGTGTGTTTGTATACAGGTATATTCCCAAGCCACCAATGCTCCATACAGATTAAGTGGTCAAACATCATCTTCAATAGCTGACTGTCCAAGGTGAAATCGCTGGAACCAAGAAGCTGCCGACCAATTGGAAGACACTGCTCTGAACATGGAAGAACTCTCGGCATTCATATGCGCATCTGTCTGAAAAAGGTATATTTCCCACCCCCAGCACTGCTCCAAACCCCAACCCCGGCAGCGCCCGTGTTTGGACCTCCGAAAAGCCGCCCGAAAAAAAAAATCTAAGCGCCCAAGCTTATGGAAGAACTCTTGGCGTTTACATGTGCATCTGTGTGAAAAGCTATGTTTCCAACCCCGTGGGACCTCCACGCCCGAGCTCCAAGCGCCGCGCCTTCTTGGGATAGGCCAGGCGGAGGTGCAGGCCCCATGGCAGCGCCTCTTTGGCCCAGGGGCTGTCGTAGGCCAGCAGCGCCAGCTGCGCCACTGGGGAGTTTTCGGCGAAGCGGCCTGAGGGCCGGAGGTCTGAGCCGTTTGCCTGGCCAAGTGACCCTTTTGTTGGGAATTACGGGTGTTCCCCACCTTGTGGAACCTCCAGAAGTGGCCGTTTTGTTGGCAATTGACGCGTAAAGTGCAAGCTTATTTTGCCTCTTTGCTTTCTGGAACATCCAAACGGACACCACCACTAAAGTGCCAGCTTTGAAGGGGAAATCCGGAGAGCCCTAGATGAGGGTGCATGAAATCCAAGGACTGCTGTTTGGGGGCGCCCATGGCATCAGGGGGGGGCTTCCCGGGGCTGGAGGGCCTAGCCCCCTGAGTTTGAAGCTTGGATGGCTTGCCAAACAGAACGGGCCCAAAACCTGCATTTTTTTTGTGTCCTGGCCCCGAACCAAACCAAACAAAAAGAAGAGCTTCATGGTGCAAGTGACTCAACTGCAGTTTGATTGGGCAAACCGCTGGAACTAAGATGGCGTCCACTACCCAAACCGAAGATACTCCCTACAAAAGGCACTGATTGGTGTATATTCATTTGTATATGTATAGATATACGCATATCCGCTCGCCTGGGGGTGGAGGTTTGGGAAAGTCAACGAGAAATCAGTGAGATCAATTGATAGGGTGCCGGCGTAAGGGCCGATTTGATCATGGATTGGGCCCTTTGGCCGATCTATCTATATATGTATCTATGTGCCACAAGTATATACATATATATATATATATTGTGTGTATATCTGTATGCATGTATGTGTGTGTGCTGTATCATGATGGTGATTATTTCGACTATAATTGGCACAATTCATACTTAACTCGCTTGCTTTTGACACCTCTGCAAACAGTTTAACTTTTTGTGGGTCCAATTCGGAAATGTCATTTCCTAAAAAGTTGAAGTCGAAAGATCCGCTACCAATTAAACATAAAGCGCAATCTCAACTTTGACAATTGGAAATAGCAGCGGCTTGGGGGGGGGGGGGAGGGTGCTGGTTTTGACAAGTCTCTTTGGGTGCGCCTTCGTGGTCTTCCTTTTGGTTTTCCTTTACAACCACAAAGAAGAGGCTACGCGGTTACCCTCAACAAAAAGACACAGCTTGAGACACAGGCAGAGTTGGGGGACCCATGAGTTCTAATAAATGGCCTGCGCAAGTTTTCCCGACCCAAGTCCGCGCCTTTCACCTGTGACCCATCCGGCAACCGCAGCGCCACCTCCACTTCGCCGTCGGCCTTGCCACCTGAAGATAAGGAAGGACCCTATTAAAAACAAACTGGGGATCATTCCGAATGACTTATGAAAGGTCCCCTGATCAAATTCAAGTTTGCTTGTTTGCTTGTTGGTAAGTGGGTTTATGGTCATCTCCTGCTCGTTTGCTCATCCCTTTAACCCGGCCAGTTGCATGACCATCTCACCAAAGCAAATATCTCCAGATGAGCATGATTGGCGAACCAAACATGTCTTTTTGTGAGCTTAACTTTTGGAACCAGTCAGCAAAGAGGCCGGACATGGGTACCCATGGGTTCACCAAGAAGCTTGTGCGACCACCGGAGTCCGCCATTGATCATGACTCCCTCACGACACCTGTACCAAATTATAGATTCCAATACATCAGCAAATCCAAATCGAGTCTAAAAGGCGGGCTTTCCTTCTAAAACCAACTTCCCTCTGTTTTGGTCTTGATGTTTACGGAAAACCCCCTCCAAATGAGGATGAACCCGTCCTGGGGACATGTGAGTCACACAAGAAACAATAACTTGCAGTAGTGTGCTATTTGAACTTTATCAGGGGACCGTGTACTAACATCATTCCGGAATGATCAACCCGTTTGTTAATAGCTGGGTCCTGGGTTTAGTGGGGATTCAGAAAAACTTTTGGAGGGCCTCCCCACCCTCCACCCCCCCTTCAACTTTTGGAAAGTTTCATGAATCCGGAAACACCTTTTCTGACATTCAGGAAGACATTCTGCCGCATAGCCAAGAACCACCGGCCCCCGCTTTCGGAACCCGTGCCTGCGGCCGCGGACGCCGCCTTGCCCCGCAGCAGCTCATATCTCCGGCGCCGTGCTTCACGCACCCGCTCTGCGAGGTCCTCCGGCGCCGCGTCGGGCTGTCCTACTCTTGCCGCCCCACCAGAACCGGGCTCTCATCAGATCCCCCGCTAAAAGATTGTTTGTTTTTTTTTGGTGGGTGAGATAAAAACAAATCCCCGCGAGATCCCCGCGAAACACCAAACAGCGAAAAAGCGAGGGGGATGGCTGGAAACCACCCAGTAAAATGCGCTTCGTTCCCCTTTGAGACAAGCTCAAAGATTGACACCAATGGCCATGACTTCTCACCTACCCGGTGGGAGTTCCAGGTACGAGGCGCTTGACGTCACGAGGGAGACGAAGCTAGAACTCGAGAGCTCACGTTTTGTCCCCCCCCGCAAACATGACCCCAAGAGGGAACTCAGCTACAGGTCCAGACAGTGATGTTCTAAACTGGCTTGGGGAAATTGTGGGACCGGGCAGAAGCAGGTAACACTGTGTTTTGCGAAGCTGATGGACACATAAATATTAGCAAACGGGGTCACTGTCTTGTTATGGTACGAAACCAGTTGGATTGAACCCGTTGTTTCTTGGCATGGTGGTTTCCCTGGCAACATCCTGTTGAACAATCATGGAAGCGGGCAGAGGGCCGCCTCAAGAGAACCAGCATTGAACAAGTGAGTATTGGAGGGCCGTGAGTCCGCAAGGAGCACTGCAATGTTCATGATCCTTTGGTCTTCCCGTGCGTTTCCGCTCTTGGCCCCCTTGCCAACAACACCGTATCAAAGAGAAGCTCGATCAACATTGCCCCAACAACTTATACTGGGGCCCTCAGCTAGGTTTAGGGCATCCACCGGAGTCCTAGCCTGCTAGGGCAAAAATCATGGCCTTCTGTGCCGCAGAAAGTCGAGGAATCATGCGTGGGTGGCACGAATTGTTTCGCTAGGGGCTATGCAAATGCTCGTCCGTTGTTCCATTTACCTTTTCGTTCATTTTGTCCATGAGCCAAAGGTCATTCTAGGTGTACCTTCCCCATTCTTTCCAGGGATCCTTCTTTCTAGAAAACCTCCAAAAACCCGGGGAAAACGGATCCGGTTTTTGGAAAGACCGATGGAAAATCAACCCCTAGAACTTTCGCAACTTTTTGGGAAGATACCATTTTAGCGGCCAAAAACAACCAGGCTAGAGTTATAAGAGTCATTGCTTTTTGTTGAGGCCCGGGTTGGGGGTTGGGTCGCGATGTCGCCTGCTTCTGCTGTGCAGACTGCTCCCGGCGCAGCTTCAGCGCCGCCACCGCCTTGTCCTGGAACTCCTGGAGTCAGTCTCAAAACCACCAGACCGGGAATTCCATTTCTGGGCGGTCCTCAGATCCCCCGCCAAAAGTGTCTAACTTTTGGAGGGTGAAATGGAAATCCTCACTAAACACTACAAACCTAAAAGGCTAAGGGGATGGCTGGGAGCAACCAAGATTTGGCTAAGACCCCTGCTGGGGGAAAAAAGAATCCTGTAGTGATAAATTCCTTTTCAAGCTAACAAGGGAAGAAGAAAAATCACAATATTCTTCAGCAAATGGAAGTTGAAAAACAAGCCTTGCCTGAGGATCCATGTCGGGGTGGATCAAAAGATCCGGTAAGCATGGGACCAACCAAAAAGAAAAAGGTACCCATGATCATTTTGGGGGACGGGAATGTAGATCAACCCCCATGTCGAGGAAGGATACGGGTTGAATGTTGGTGCCTACTTTTGTAAGTTATCCTCCAGCAAGCAACATGGAAGCCGCCAGCGGGTCCCCTTGAAAGGAAAATAGTATTCTGGCACCCCGAGCACAGGAGGGTAAATCTTAACCTTTCGCAACAACACATCAAAAGGTTGATTCGCTTTGGACAAGTGCGCATTGTTTCCTAGTCGGAACCCCGTCACAAGTGCTTGGTTCCTCATTCAAATTAATTCCCTCCTGAAGAATGAGGACCGGGGTCGGGGTTTTGGCGAAACCACGACGGATCCACCGGACTTTTCGGTGGAACGCCAGGAGAGAAGATGGCTTTAGCAGAACGAAAAAATGAAAGCCCCCTGTTTTGGGGTCTTTGACTTTAACTAAAAGTTGCTCACTAGGTTTCTTGTTCCCATTGCTCTTTGCAGGGTTTCCCTTCTGCCCCAGGGCTTCCCTTGCAACCCTGCCACCCCTGCTTGCCTTCCTGGCCGCCTCGTCTTCCAGGTCCGGGGCCGGCACAAAGTCCACCTAAGCCCAAACCTACCAGTTTCTGCTTCCAACCTGGACCAACACTGCCCCCGTAACCGTCTATGCCTCGTGGCCACAAACTCCCAGGAATCAAAGACGATCAGACGCTGAAAACGCCAGAAATTGACAAGAAGTGGAAAGCTGCCCCACATTTTTTGCATGGAGCCCCAAAAAGGGGCCAAAAACTTAAGCAGAGCTTCCTCTCTCTGAAGCTTGCGGGGTTTTTGGGGTTCCATGCAAAAACGCGTAGGGGGGGCAAACAGGCGAAACGGCCGAAGCAGCGCTTTGGGCAACGCGGCAGCTGTCGAAAGCGGACCTCGGAGTATCCCGCCTTGAACTCAAAGTGGTGCTGGACATCGGAGTCCTTGGGAGGCAGTGGCAGTCTTCAGCGCTCCCAAAGGGTGGATTCAAGCAGGGGAGCAAAGCCGCACACGCCACCAACTAAGGGTTGGCTGAAGTCAGGGAATTCAAACAAAAAGAAGTTCTTTCATGAAATCCAAGCTCCCTCACTAATCCCGCCGCCCCTGGTTTTCTCCAAATAAGGCCTTGGTAAAGCCTTGCTAGTGTCTTCTGTTGGGGAAAGGGGGTGGGGTTGAGGGGAAATGCAAGATGATTCTTCCCGGTTCCTTGGCCAATAGTCAATCCACAGGATTGAGAGCGTGTCTGTTAGTCTAGCGCAAATATGAGAAAACTGAGGTCCATCAACAACTGGGATCAACCACACGGAGATCCTGAGAATGGTTTGGAAGCACAGCCAGGAGCACAGGCAGGTAACAAGATTGAAGCTAGGCGCTGCATTGGTTGCTGCAGTTTGAAGTCACCAAACAGGCTGCCCCGGCTATTGGGGGGAGGACCCTATCAGCCCAATGTTCACCTTTGGACCCTCCCTTAGCAGGCGTTATGCGCTTGTAGGAACTCCGCGGTACATCCAAAGAATCAGCCGGTTCAGGTGATTTGTTCCTCCCCAGAAAGGTTCTATATAGACACTTCCAGCCAAGAAGCGATGATGCGCACAGATCCCCCGGGCTCGGCTCGAGCAATCTGCACCTTGTAGAACCTGGTTGCGCTTGCACCAGGTGAAGGAACTTGGCGCTTGGGGCTCCTTCCCCCCAAGAAATTTGGATCCCTTGCCGCTGGCTCGTCCAAGCGACCCGGAAGGTAGAAGAAGCCCTCCACACGTATGGTGTGGAATCGGCCAGCCCTGGTTTCATTTTCCTCTAACCCCGTTGGGTTCCGTAGTAGGCCCCAGATCCCCCTCGTAAAACTCGAAGCGGTGTTCAACGCGCATCCAAAGACGCCCGCGCGTCTGCGAGGGGACTTTCCCTATGAAGGAGAGTGATGAGCAAGACCTGTCAGCCGTTTCATTTGGTGGTTTGGCGTTCAGGGGTGCAGCTTCCCATCTACTCCCGAAACCACGAATCCAAAGCGCCAACTAAGGAGTACCTGAGCTCAAGCCAAGGCCATAGGCTCGCCCCCTTCTGCAAGGCTACTTGAGGGAGGCTGATTGGACATCCAAGCGGCGAGCCTCCCACATCCACTGGCACCGCCGTGTCCTCACGAAGCAAAGCCGCAGGTAGACCGCATGCCCAACAAAAATACACAGCAAAACTTGGTTGACGTTGGAAGCAGGGCAAACATTAAAAACAAAAAAGACAACAAAAAAAATCATGTAGCAGTTAAGTGGATTTGGATTTCAACCACTAAACCACAAAAAGCAAACATGTAAAATGCTTCCCAGCAACAAGCATGAAAAGGTTAACCTCGCGGCCCCGGCCTTGGGACCCTCCAAGAAGTGGACCCAACCTCTTTTGGAGCGCACAAAGGGCGGTCGTGAACAAACGGGTCCCAAGCCTTGGTTCGGAACCCGCCCTGATCCAAACGGGGAACCGCAGGATCTGGTTCAAACCCTAGATCAATCCCAGGCCGGGTACCAAGCTGCTCAGCAAGAAAAGAAAAACTCGAACCCTTTTTGGGGTTGACGATTTAGGGTGCAAAAGCTGCCAAAGACAAAGGGGAAACGGGGTGCCCCCGAACACCTGAAACAAGCCTGCCATCCCGTAAGCGCTAAGGAACACGATATGAGAACTTGCCGCCTGGGACCCTCGGAGTGGGAGCTAAGGTTAGCCCCACATTCACCGGGGACTAAGTCACCAGCACCTTGTGAGCTTGGCGAATCCATCGGTCCCGACCGATCCTCGGTGAGGCAGCTGTAGCGGGACAAGGACTGCGTGAGCAGCGCGGAGACGTCTTCTGAGCAGCTCTGCACCGCCTCGTAGAAGCCGACGCCGTGGGGCTGGATCTTCACCTCGAGTTCCAGGGGCTCGTCGGTTTAGGATGCTTGGTGGTTTGGAGCTGTGGAGCCGGTTTTCCATCTGCCCTCCGCTGCGAATCCAACCAATGCGAACCTGCATCTGAGGTTGATCTGACAGTGGCCTGGCTGACAACAAGCATGAGAAGTGTCAGCTTTGCCAAAAATCCATTGCCCGTTGGTTCTACCAAGACAGGTATGGGTATGTAGGGGTACCAGGCCTTTCGGGTGGCAAGCCTGTATAACCACCCGAAAGGCCTGGTACCCCTACCTAAAGTTGGGACCTGGCCGCCTCACCAGGCCAAAAGCAGCTCGAATCGGTTTTGGGCGCTGCAATTGTTTGGGCCCACGGGTCCGCACTTGGGCCGCGGCCGCGGTGATCAAGGGCAACGCGACGCCCCGCACCCGCACCGGCTCGCGCCTGCGAACAAATCCGGCCTTCGTGGCTATTAGCTGGTATTGGGGGGCTGTTATTGGGTGGCCCTTGACAACCAAACGAGAAGCTGCGCGTATTTGAACTTGATCATGTCATGGAACCACAAGAAGCAGCTCACTTCAAGACGGGGTGGCCACATCAAGTATTCTACGTCTGTCTTTTTAGACGAACGTGGTCTCATAAAAGTTCGGCAGGTCCAGAAACTGGAGAAGTGACAAAAAAAGTCGCAACACAGATAAGGGTACATCCACAAAACCCACCTAACTTTTCAAGGGCTTTTCCGGGCAAGCATGATGTTCTACCTGGCCCAAATGGAGGCTTCTCGAGTTGGCCTCCGAAAATGCCAACGGTTTCCTTTCGACTTCCCTTTCAGGCTTTCGGCCATCTGAGAAGCCCTCAGAATGCATTCGTGTTAAGGTGGCCCTGTTGACACCTCCGTTTTGCTCCTTTGCTAGGCCCAGAATGGAAATGGACTTGTGCCATCAACTCAGCCAACATTCCAGGATTGCCCCTAATCAACCAGGGCTTCTACTTAGATCAGGGGGTGCCATAGGGGTGTGTCTATTGCAGGTACCTTTATTTTGGTGGTTTTGAAGGGAAACCAAAGAGGAGGAAACCAGTATTTTGTGGGACCCCCCCCCCCCCCCCCCCAAAAAAAAACAAAAAAAACACGTCCAAATGGACTCACCAAAACCAGCACCCTTCCCCCCCCCAAGCCACTGCCATTTCCAATTTCCAAATGTCCAACGGACTCCTGAAGTTGGGATTGCGAACTGAGCCCACGGTTTTTTCGCGTTTCTTCGTGACTGAAACGGGACACCGCAAGATGATACCAGTATTTTATGGGTCCCTCTGCTTGCCGGTGCAGCAGGGAATGAGAAATGGAATGACCCCTATAAACCATCCAACTGGTGGTTTCCTTTCAGGGAATCCCATTCCGGTTCTTTCCATTTGCCCCATTCCCTACCTATCCGCAGCGATTGCAAGTTTACCCCATATATGGGTATGGCCTTTTGGCGGGTACCCGTGTTTTTTTTTCGTGGTTTTAAACGGGAGGCCCAAAAAAAGGAAACCAGTATTTTTGCGTGTCCCCCACCCAAAAACAAAAACGAGGAGCCACCCATCCGGGCCATCCGTTCGGAGAGGGCTCTGAGGCGCCGGCTCCTCGATGCCCAGGTCTTCCATGACCCAGCGGGGCAGCAAGCAGTGCATCTCCGGCAGGCCGTTCACAAACTCGAAGATGGCGCCTACCCGAGAGAGAGAAAGAGAGGAAAAAAGAACACACCAAGAACGCGGAAGGGCAGGAAAAAAGCACTGGGGGGGTTGGTCTCTTCCGTTTGCTTCTTCTTTCTTTTGGGGGTGGACAGGGTGGAATACCGCACAGGGATCGAGGTGTAATCTGATTGATTTTCGGGTACCGTGTGCAAAAACCCTTGGCGTGTATTGGTGGCTTGGGCATCTGGACCTTGGGTTCTTGTAGGCATGGGAAACCACGCCGAAAAACTGGGAAGAACGAGGCCCCAGGGCCGGAGTCACAAGCCCCTAGGTTTTTGCTGGAGGTTCCAGGTGCCCTGGCATCGCTTTCCTTTAGGGTCGGTCTTGGCTCACATCCGGGTGCTTCAAACACACGTTCAGCCTCAGTTTCATCGCCTGGCGCAAAATCTAAAAATTGCTTTGAAGGAAACCCCAGAAACTCCGAAAACGTAAGGAGACCGCAGAAACCCCAAAAACGTCCGGAGGCCCCAAAAACTCGAAAACGTGCATGGGGCCCCTTCGGGCCTATGTATACAGACCTAAGCATGCACATGAACAATGTACAGAGACAAATACATATATATATATATGTATATATATGTATATATACATTTATACACATATACACACATATATATATATATATATATGTATAAATATACACACACACACATACATATATATATATATATAGTGGTCCGGGCATCCCGGCAGGAGGTTTTCCGGCCCAAACGCGTTGTCACCTCAAAGGTGAGCGGCAGCTGCAGGTCCTGCCTGGGCAATGGGCAGGTCCTGCCTTTGGGATACCAAAGTGGGACATCCCCATGGCTATAGCTTCTCACTTCAGGAGGATTGCAGAAAGGTGTCATAGAAAGTTGCGGAAGCAAAAAAAAGCGTGTTCAGCTTCTCAGTGCAGGAAGCTCGCGGAACTGAATCGAATCGGCTGGCGCGAATCGCGCCGAACCGGAACCGGCGCGAACCGGCCGCGCGATTCCTGGATACGAATCGACACCAAGTACGCCAACCCGGCGAAACGAAACGAAACGAATCGGCTAATTGGCGGTTTCCGAACCGAATGGAATCGAAACGGGCCGGTTGGAGGGCAGAGCTGGCAAAGAGAACAGGCAAACAAGCCGGGATGCGGCTGGAGGAAGGAAGTCTAAGAGATTGCATGGGTAGACAGGTTAAGGTCCAAAGGTTGAGCTGTAAGTGGAAGCCAAAAGGTTCCCAAAGGTTGGAGCTCAGAGCTTGGAGCCCAAAGGTTGGTTAGAGGTTAAGGTTAGAGGTTAGGGTTAGAGGTTAGGGTTAGAGGTTAGGGTTGGAGGTTAGGGTTACAGGTTAAGGTTAGAGGTTAGGGTTAGAAGTTAAGGGTTAGAGGTTAGGGAGGTTAGGGTTAGAGGTTAGGGTTAGAGGTTAGGGGTAGAGGTTAGGGTTAGAGGTTAAGGGTAGAGGTTAGGGTTAGAGGTTAGGCCCAGAGCTTGGAGCCCAAAGGTTGGAGGCCAGAGCTTGGAGCACAAAGGTTGGAGCCCAGAGCTTGGAGCTCAAAGGGTGGAGGCCAGAGCTTGGAGCTCAAAGGTTCAAAGGTTGGAGCCCAGAGCTTGGAGCCCAAAGGTTGGAGCCCAGATCAAAGGATGGAGGCCAGAGCTTGGAGCTCAAAGGTTGGAGCCCAGAGCTTGGAGCTCAAAGGTTGGAGGAGCCCCAAAGGTTGGAGCCAGAGCTTGGAGCCCAAAGCTTGGAGCCCAGAGCTTGGAGCTCAAAGGTTGGAGGCCAGGAGCTCAAAGGTTGGAGCCCAGAGCTTGGAGCCCAGAGCTTGGAGCCCAAAGGTTGGAGCCCAGAGCTTGGAGCTCAAAGGATGGAGGCCAGAGCTTGGAGCTCAAAGGTTGCAGGCCAGAGCTTGGAGCCCAAAGGTTGGAGCCCAGAGCTTGGAGCCCAAAGGTTGGAGAGCTTGGAGCTCAAAGGTTGGAGGCCAGAGCTTGGAGCCCAAAGATTGGAGCCCAAAGCTTGGAGCCCAAAGGTTGGAAGAGCTTGGAGCTCAAAGGTTGGAGGCCAGAGCTTGGAGATCAAAGGTTGGAGGCGAGAGCTTGGAGCCCCAAGGTTGGAGCCCAGAGCTTGGAGCTCAAAAGTTGGAGCCGCCCAGAGGTTGGAGGCCAGAGCTTGGAGCCCAAAGGTTGGAGGCCAGAGCTTGGAGCCCAAAGGTTGGAGGCCAGAGCTTGGAGCCCAAAGGTTGGAGCCCAGAGCTTGGAGCTCAAAGGTTGGAGTTGGAGCCCAAAGGTTGGAGCCCAGAGCTTGGAGCTCAAAGGTTGGAGGCCAGAGCTTGGAGCCCAAAGGTTGGAGGCCAGAGCTTGGAGCCCAAAGGTTGGAGCCCAGAGCTTGCACCTCATTGGAGCCCAAAGGTTGGAGCCCAGAGCTTGGAGCCCAAAAATTGGAGCCCAGAGCTCGGAGCTCAAAGGTTGGAGGCCAGAGCTTGGAGCCCAAAGGTTGGAGGGAGCCCAAAGGTTGGAGCCCAGAGCTTGGAGCGCCCAAAGGTTGGAGGCCAGAGCTTGGAGTTGGAGGCCAGAACTTGGAGCTCAAAGGTTGGAGGCCAGAGCTTGGAGCTCAAAGGTTGGAGCCCAGAGCCTGGAGGAGGACAGAGCTTGGAGCCCAAAGGTTGGAACCCAAAACCTTGGAGGAGGACAGAGCTTGGAGCCCAAAGGTTGGAGCCCAGAGCTTGAAGCTCAAAGGTTGGAGGCCAGAGCTTGGAGCTCAAAGTTTTGACGGGAGGACAGAGCTTGGAGCCCAAAGGTTGGAGCCCAGAAAGCGTGTGCCTCCACTGGAGGCAAGGGTTGCCATGACCATCGCACACTGCGGTCAGGGCAGTGGACGCTCAGGGGCTGTCAATTGCCACACACCCAAGGAGCTCGCCTGCTTCAAAAACAAACCTTTTTGCTTCTCCTCCAACCTTTTGGGGGGCCACTGAACATGTTCCAACCTTTCCAGGGCCGCCCTTCCAGCCTTTAAGCCGCCTCCGTCGTCCAACCTTCGTCCCTCCAACCAGCCGGGCCCACTTCGTCCGCCTCCAAATCCCTTTGCCAAAGCTTTCCTGCGTCCACCGAATCCTGGTTGATCCTGCCTGTAGTCATATGCTTGTCTCAAAGGCCTTCAATCCAGAACCCTTCCGGGGGACGAAGGTTGGAAGACGGAGGCGGCTCAGTGAAGGCTGGAAGGGCGGCCCTGGAGTGGGCCCCAAAGGTTGGCCAGAGCTTGGAGCCCAGAGCTTGGAGCCCAGAGCTTGGAGCCCAGAGCTTGGAGCCCAAAGGTTGGAGGCCAGAGCTTGGAGCCCAAAGGTTGGAGGCAGAGCCTGGAGCCCGGAGCTCAAAGGTTGGAAGGTTGGAACATGTGGAGTGGCCCTTCAAAGGTTGGAGGAGAAGCCCCCACAAAGGTTACACGGGCGGCCCACCCGCCCGCCTTGAATGGTTGGAGGGACGAAGGTTGGATCACAGGCTGGCAGGGCGGCCCTGGAAAGGTTGTGTGGAGAGGTGGCCTGCCCCCACAAAGGTTGGACGGGCGGCCCGCCCACCCCTGAATGGTTGGAGGGACGAAGGTTGAAAACCAGATCCACAAAGCAGCAGATCCATTTCAAGAACATGCGTTTGCTTTTCCGAAACTTTTCCCTTGTCGGGTTTCTTGCTTGGGTCTCACCATCGGTTGTGGAAACTTTGGTTTATTTTCTGTCTTCTGTTTTTTGCCCCCCAAAAAGCGTTTTGGGGTCGAGGGAAAAAAGCTTGTCCTGCTGAGGTCTCACCGTCCTCAACTCCCTGTAGAAACATGCGTTTGTTTTCTGTCCTCTTTTTCGTTGAAACCCAAAAAAAGGGGATCCCGCAAAACACCTGTCCCGCTGAGGTCTCACCATCCTCAACTCCCTGTAGAGACAAGCCAGGCCTTCCCCCCCCCCTTTCGAAAAAAGAGCGTTCAAAGAATCCAGTAGACGCATTCAGTTGTTCTCCGTTTAGATGAGATGCAAACAAGGGTTCCAGTACGGGGCCGCAACAGAAAGGCTTGTAAGAATTCATTTCCAAAGCGGGCTTCCATGTCGGGACCATTCATGAGCTCCGCATTAGAACGCGCCATGTAGGGATCATGAAGATAGACTTCTTGACACAAGCTGTTTTAGGAGGGCCCCTAAACTCCCCATGGTTGGAGGGACGACGGGCTCAGTGAAGGCTGGAAGGGCGGCCCTGGAAAGGTTGGAAGAGGCGGCGGAGAGGGCGCACCCAAAGATTGGAGGAGGCGACCAGCGGCCCCCAAAGCCCCATCGAAACGAGTTGAAACGAACCGGGCCTTGGCAAGGAACCGGCTGCGAAACGAAACACCCGAATCGTACGGCGATTCAGGGCTATCGAATCGAACACACCGAAACGGACGTGCGCGCGAAACGGAACGAACCCAAACGAATCGTGAGAACCCTGTCAGTGTGTCGGGTGGCTTGGATTGGTGGGTAGGTGGTTAGGGATGCTTTCCCATTTCTCCTCTGCAAGAACCAAGGGGTCAAGTCCCCAAACCACAAATCCAAACCACAAACCAGGGGTTACCTGTGATACAAAAGTGGGACATGTCCATGACTATAGTTTATCATGTTCACCTTGGCAAAAAGTGAATCACTTTTTGTGGGTTCAATGTGAAAAGCGTGATTCTCTAAAGCTCCGACCCAACAGCGATCAAGTCAAGAGGATTGCCTGGGTGTCATAGAAAGTGGTGCTAAAAGACATTCTCCGGCTTCTCACTAAGTCGGCTTCCCTCTAATTGGCGCCTTTGTCCCCTACCATCGGCAAGATCAAGGATACAAAAAACAAAAAAAACACAAATCACAACTAACTAAGAGTTGCCTGAAAAAGAAAACAAAAAACACGGCCAAGAGCAGTGACGGGTTGCTACAGGGACGATTGCTCAACAGGCCCGAGTGTACATCGTCTTAACACATTAATGCTTAGCTTTGCTGGCGGGATTCTCAGTCACCAGCCTGACAAATCCAACAAGTATCCCAACAGGTCCTAAGGCGAGGGTCAAGTCTGGAGAACGAGCTCAACATCCGTGAGACCAAAGTTGGTCATTAAGTACTTTGTCACTCTGACAGGCAGGATTCTTCCAGGAATCACTGCAGAGGCGAAACCTCATGTCCTACTATGAATGGACGAAATCCTTTACCACCTAAGAAATCCTACAATGATGACCCCCCCGTAAATACCAACAAACACTGGTTTCCCATGGATTCAAAGTGGTGCGAAATGGATTTCGTCCACCCACAGTATGGTCCAAGGAAAAAATAACCGAATGAACCAAGACCTCATTTCCCGTGGAATCAGAGCCGGGCGGCCCTCGCTCAGCGCGGCTGTAAATCTCGTTGGCGTAGGAGAACGGCAGCCCGATCTTGTCGGTGGCTTCCAGCCTCCCGTTTTTTCACTGCGACGTGACATGCTGGAGCCAAAGTGGCACTCTGAAACTTCTCCTCGAAATGCCGGCAAACAACTAACAACCAAGCCAGACATATGAATCAGGGCTGCCTTTCGGTTAGTTCCTAGGGTTTAAGACTTTATGGGTCGTTAGGAATAGGCTCTGTGTGTCTTGAGCTCACAGGGTTTCTTCCCCAAAGTAATGCGCCCACTTCGGATAGGAGAATCCCTGACTGCTCCCATTACGGTGCAGGTTCATGCAAAGTGGACATTGGCTACTTCAGCCACGTGTATGATGGGTCCCTTGCTCGCCACTCAAATTACCTCAAGCTGAAAATCCGGGATTGGGTGAAGCGAGTGAAACCCCAAACTCGCCTGCCCAATGGGTGGAAATAGAAGGTTCACCTTTTAGAATCTTGACTAGTTGAATATGGGCAAGCAAGGAGAACACCTTAACCGCTTGAGAGGAAGGAAGCAAGCAGAAAGAAGAAACAAGGAGAATGGGATGAAGGAAGGAGGGAAAGACGGAAATAAAGCCAGAAGAAACTACGGAAAGAAGTAAGATAAGAAGGAAAGGAGAAAAGGAGGAAAGAAGGAAAGAAGAAACAAGCAAAGAAGGAATTCAGAAAGGCACCGAGAAGAAAAAAAACTTATAAATATATAAGGAAATTAGGAAAGAATAAATAGAGAAAGAAAGAAAGAAACAAATAAAGAAAGAAAGAAAGAAAGACAGAAAGAAAGAAAGAAAGAAATAAAGAAAAGAAAGAAAGAAAGAAAGAAATAAAGAAAAGAAAGAAAGAAAGAAATAAAGAAAGAAATAATGACAAAAGAAAGAAATAACGAAATAAACAAAACACAATAATGAAAGATAACAATAATAATGAGGAAGGAATGAAGGAAAAAAGGAACACATAAATAAGAACTAACATCACCCACAAATACAAACAATAAACAAAGTGCATCAATTAATGAATAAATACAAAGAACAAACAACGTAAAGAAGAACATAACATAAGCGAGAAATAAATAATTCAACTGCATACATGCAGAAAGAACCACAAACAATTCGAAAAGTAAATCCACACCAAAACAAGAAACAAAAGAAACAAGGAAAGAAGGACATAAGCAATGAGTACATACATAAACAACTAAATAACTCAGAGCAGGAAACTTCTCCAGAGACAATATGGGTAGTAGAGGACACCCCCGCCCTGCCTCCAAAATGGCTTATCCGTTTTCTTTTTGGATTTCCTTTGCAACCACCACAAAGAGGGGTAGAGGTGCCATGTTAATGGAAGGGAGGGTAACCGCGCCCAAAAGATGTCACGCCCCACATCTTCATACCGGTTCCCGGAGACGTGCGGGCGCTCCTGGCTAGGTCTCCCAGGAAGGGCGCGGCCGCTTCAGCGGAGAGGGCCGTCATGCCCTCCTCGTCAAACGACGCGTTTTGGGCCGAAAAAACATACTACATGTCCAAACCAATACCCAGCTAGGTCCTCCAGTAGAGAGGTTAGAATAAGAATACCCTTTTTTCTGTAGTCTATTTTAGTAGGGAAACCCTCCCCCAGAAAAGGGTAGAAGGGCACTACTGGGGGACCTAACCTGTGAATCCATTTGCCACAGTGGGTAACCAAGGGCTTGCCACCCTTTAAAAGCCCAAAACAAGGGTAGCTGGGATCAACTGGGACGTGTAAAACTTATGTGTAAATTTTGTTGTTGGTGGACATGGAACCCGACCGAATTCGGATGTCCAAAGGGTGCCATGTTAATAATCACCAGACATATTGCTCTTAAACAACCTCATTTGGGGGACCACCCACAATATAGCAAATCTCGAAAAGGCATCCATGGGGTTGTCTTTTTCAGGCTGCCCTGCGGGTTCTGTTGAAGGGAACACCACCTTCCCTGCTTGAAAACAACCCCCCTCCCTCCTCAGGTAAGGCACATTGGAAGAGGTTCTTTGCAAGATTTGAAATGCCTAAGCTGGGCTGTCTTCAGATCCCGTGCGAAAAGTGACTAACTCTTTGGTGACATGAAAACCCTAACCAGAGGTTGGCCGAAACCTTCTGCCTGTTTCGAAGCAACGCTTTTTTGACCAGGAAAAGGTCAATGTCCCGTCTTCATGGGCAAAGAGAAGTCAACCCTTAACCGCACTCATACCGCACTCGAAAGTTGAACTATGGTTGCACAGCATCCATTGAAGCAAATCTATGTCCGGCCTACAATTTGGGAGCATGCATCCAAAAAGCGTTGATCAGAGAGATCCAGGAAGCCTCCAAAGTGAAATGGGTAAACATCCATCACGCTGTGTCGTGAGGGGTCTCGTTGCTCTCGTGGGGAGTATGGGGCAAATCGGACAATGCCCGGTCCTCCCCAAATTCAGAGTCTAGGTCCTCCAGTAGAGAAGTTAGAATAAGGGTACCCTTGTTGCAGTCTATTTTAGTAGGGGAACCCTCCCCCAACATGTAAACGGGCACCACTGGGGGACCTAGGAGTAGGGAGTAGTCTGGGGCGCCCGGGGCAATCTCATCCGTTGGTCCACGCTTTGCGCGGGCAAGCTCCTTGCAGAAGCCGTTGGCCGTTGGAAAGAGCTCCGAGCAGAGGCCTCCGATCAGAGCGGCACACAGAAACCGAGACGACTCTTTGCCAGCTTCGTCTCTCTTCACCGCCGGCGGGTTAAACATGAGGCTTTTTGTTTGAAGAATCTCGAGTTGGCAGAACCCCCCTTTTTTCCTGGGGAGTACTTCCAGATTGCCCATATGGGTGTGGCTCAAAAATAGGTAGCAACAACAGAACCCTGGTAAGTAAAAACATGGACCAACACCTGCAGTCCCCTGGTGGCTTACTTCTGACCCATACCCATGTTGGCAGAACACGTCCAAGCATCTTGTCCGACATCAACTTCCAAGCACTTGGAGGCATAGCCTAGCTGGCTGCCGGAGCCAGCTTTATAGCCATCAAAACGTCGAGGCTCGAAGCCCTCCGTCCCCGAGCATAAGGGAACACCACTACCTGGAGTCCCTTCTGACCCTTTAAAAATGGGTCCATAACCCATTTCTTTATTTTGGGTAATGACCAACCATTTTTAAAGGGTCAGAAGGAGACTCCAGGCATTCTGGGGGCCAACACAAACACACCCAGCTCGTTGAATGCCCATCCGGCCGTCCAAAAACCTGCGCTTTGGTTGGTGATTGGTAAAAGCAGCCCTGGCGTGGTGACGGCTCTGCAGGAAGAAGCCAGTTTGAACAAGGGTACTTGCAAAACTGACACTTTCATGGGTACTGTCGCAAACGCAGACACACACATGCCCGTGATGCACCCCCTAGGTTCCAACAACTCCAACGGCATCCTCAAAACGAATCACGCCCCTTGACCGTCGGATGCCCGGCGGATGCCTCAGGACTCCGGGGATGGGGGCGGAACATGGGCGCAGAACCCATCCAGGCCGTAACCGCCTGGTATTTGGGGCTGGTATTTGCACCTTTCACCTGTGGAGGTTCATGAAACAGGGCGTGCCGTGCCGAATTTCCCGGACCATAAATTGACAATACTGCACCTACTGGCAGAACCTCAAATTTGTGTCTGCCTGTTGCAAGTTCACATATGGCCATGGGTCAAAATCCAAATCGTACCCCCAGTGAACATCAACCAATCCAACCACTAAAATAGGTTCTAAAATGGGTGGTGAATTCACCTACCAACCCAAATGGGATCCCAACGGTTGTGACCACCACAGCCATATGGAGCCCCAAAGATTGGTCCACAACCTTCGTTTCGTTTCCCGCGCGACGGACCCAAGCCCGTCTATGCCAAGCATCGGTGCAGCTGGACGTCGGGCTTGGGATACTCCTTGCATGGTTACTAGGTCCTCCAGATTGGAGAGGATAGAATAAGTTGGTACCAACTGTTTTTCTGTTTTGTCTACTTTAGTAGAAACACCCTCCCCAAGAAAGGGGTGAGAAAGGGCACTGGGGGACCTAGGTTAAGAGCCCAGAGTTTCTGCTCAGCTCCATGGATCTAGAGCGCTTTGGAGGCACCCCCGAAGATTCCGATCTATCCCCCGAAGATTCCGATCTATGGACTTTCAGGATTCCATGTCGATGGTGTAGGATTGCATGGTCCTTCCAAACATCCGAATGAAGTTGAGTCGAACTGAGTCATCTGCTTTCACCCAACCGTCCCTCCCCCCTCGAAAATTCACATGAAAAAGGCCGAATCACATCGGGTGTTGCGTGTGGCTAGCTGGTTCAGCCACAAAGGGACAAATGCAATTCACAATGCATGCTCCATGGTACTATGTAAGGGCCCAACTTGTCAGAATGGGGGTTGTGCATAGGGTACTTTCAGATCAAATTACGCCATGATCACAGAACGCAAGTGTGTGCTTACGAAGCCTATTTGTCTACGAAGTGGAGAGCGAAGGAAGGGGGGCTGCCAAACAAAATTCCTCACAAGTTGGACCCGTAGACGATGCCAAGCTCTGTCAGCATGGTCAATGGTTTTGCAAAATCGCAATTTCTGCGAGGCGAAAGCATGCATGACTGCATGACCCAGTAAGTACCCTAAAACCCTACTTCCCGCAATCATGGTCCAACCAACGGATATGGAAACGGCTATCGTGCGGCAAAAATGCTGCCAGGGTCAAAACCACCTGCGTCATGTTTGATCTAACTTTTGGGCCAGACTTTGGCCATGGAAAAAAGTCAGCTGGTTGCAGACCAACAGCAAGACAAAGGTTGCTGGTTGCAAAAACGGAAAAAAGCCACGGTTCACTGTTTGCAGGTTGCTGGTTGCAAAATGAAGGAAAACCACACAAACAAGCAACAAGTCAAGCACAACGAGCTAGGTCTGGCATTGACATGGCCCCACTCGAAAGGCAAAAAGGTCGGAGGTCTGGCGTAAGCTGGGATTTTGAGCACCGGCTCGCGGGTTTCAAGCCCCTGAAACCCGCATGGAAGTTTGTCAAAATGGTGGAAGTTGCCATGAGGGAAGCCAAACGGCAACTTCCAAAGGTGGAGACGCGCCGAATTGGGCGGACCCCGATTTTGCCTTGTGACATGGTTCCCCAGGACAAACGAGCTGACCCCGCGTCCCGCGTCCCACAACTTCCACCGCCAAGATGGTCGACAGTCAATATCAAAGGGCCTGCCAAGAGATGGGCCTCCGAATCAATCCACAAAAATGTGGCTGTGGCTCAAAAACATGTACTCAAATGACCCCCTTGGTAAATGGAACCAAAGACTAAAACCTGCGTAACCCTGGCTCTTGAGTTTTGAGCCACACCCATGTCTTGCCTGAAGTTTGTGAACCAGGAGGACCTAGCCTTCATTGACCTGGACGTAAAACGGGGCAAACAAAAGGGGATCACCAAAAGGTGCTAAGACGTGCTTCGCTTTGAAGAAGAAACACACGTCAATAGAATTCGCCAAATACGGGCTCCGGGAAAAAACGGGTATGTACGAATTACTCGTCCCCTTTACAGAACGACAGGGTCTACTTAGCATGGCACAACGTCACTCGTCACTGTTCCTCCAGTATGGATCTATGTCAGTCTACCAATTTTGGGTAAGATCCCTACATATATACTCAGGTGACCTAACGGGGGATATAAAGCGCTGACTGGGGTCATCCACACGCCCTGTCCTGCTGCAGAACTTGGGGGCACCATGGGGCACCACTTAACTTAGGGACTTAATTTCCAGATACACCCACATCTCAATTAAGGAACTTAAATGGCCATCAATTTTAACTAGGGCCCTCTCATAGACATCAGAATTGGGTGGGGATGCATGCCCACCAATCAGTAAACGATTGGAACCAAAGGGAAACCCAGCGCCATCCATTTTCAAGCAAGTTGACCTAAAAAGGACGCCTACGCCTACGCTCACAACTTCTCGGATGGACCCGTCAGAGATGGCCAGAGACGGTCCTTCTTGATGGCCACGGTGGTCATCGCAAGGACTCCACTTTCCAACAAGCTCCTTGTGAACCGGCGCCGATTTTCGCGCTGCTTGGGTTTGGTGGGCTTCTAAAGGGCGAAGAGTGGGAAAGAGTTGGAGGGAAACCCCAGAAGTTGGTTTTCAAGGGTTTGGTTTGCGTGGTTGGTTTTGAGGGGACACGTTCCCAAACTACCAAGCCATAAATCCAAATCGCCAACTAAGAGGAAGCTGGTCCCAAGCAGGTCAGCCACAGAGGAAAACCTGCCCAGAAATGACTTTAAGAGAGGACGGACGGCTGGAACCATTTGCAAGAAGTGCCCGAAGCTGCCTTTTCACCAGCCTGCTCTAGACAGGTCCTCTTCGTAGGCATCGACCCCTACAAACGTGAACGAGGAACGTCGAAATAGCAACCTAAGCCTAAGCAGAGTGAAAAGAATGTGTCCGGGCAAGACGAAACAGCATCAGATGAGAAACCAGTCCAGCCCAGACAAGCCAGGAATGTCGAAATAGCAAGTCTAAACAAACGGCACCGGGCAATGTCGTGTTGCCAAACATTCCAGCCCAGAAACCAACTGCCGTGTTTTCAACATCTGCAACATGCATCTGCTCATCAGGCCCCCTTTTGTGCCCGCATTCTGGTCCCTGGCAGACAGAATTTGGGCACCGTTTGCCAGACCTGCGCTTAAGATATCTTCATAAGGAAAGAAATTTGCAGGTACCGCCTCCACCCCGCAACGCATGAGAAATCTAAGCAGACGGAAAAGCACGCCCCTGGGAAAGATGCAAACCAAAGCCGGACAAACCAGGAACATCGAAATAGCAAGTCTAGACACACACAGCAGAGCTTGTGCGCACAACGTTGTTCCCCTCCTTCCCCCCGCAAAGGCAAACCTCACCAGACTTCGGGACAACGAGGCACTGATGAACCTTTTGGTTGGTTTTTCGGGGACACCTTCCTTGCCCAAACAACCAGAAATAAACCTTGTGGGGCCATGACCCAAAATGGCTGAAAAGGGGACACTAGAAGATCAAGCTTTGGACAAGGAAGGAAACCTTCCCAACAAAAAGGCAAAGCCATACCTTTTGGACAAATAGAGGGCCCTGGCACATGGTTTATAAAATCCAGCTAAGCCAGTGCCACGTACTTCTAACCAACCCTCAGTTGCCCATACAAGGTTACTTTTTCGGGCCATGGCTACAGCAAAAAAAGACCCAAACAATTGTCAAAAGGTCAAATGGTCAAAAGGTCGATTTGTTTCGGACAACTGAGAATTTAAGCTAGGAAGGCTGCCTTTTTCCCCCACAATCTGGTCTCCCCCCCGCAAGAGAGAGGGCATACATGGTTTCTAACACCCAATCTAAACCAGTGCCATCTACTTCTTCCCACTCTAAGCTACTAGGTCCTCCAGTAGAGAGGCTAGAAGGGCACCCTTTTTCTGTAGTCTATTTTAGTAGGGGAACCCTCAGGGGTGAGAAAGGGCACCTAGCTGGGGGACCCAAGCTCAGAAGGCCACCTGGCCACCCCGCCCGGCGTCGATTCCGCTTGCAATTGGGACTCTGCCGCACTTCTGCCAGGACAACCGGCATGGAGGTGGCAGGGTTCCACCCCGCGGAAGCGAGGATCGCACCTCAATCGGAAATCCTATGCCTAACCCAGAGGGTCCCAGTACCTCCTGAGGATGGCCTTTGGGGGGTAGAGGTAGACCTCCTTAGAAGGTACTTGGACCCTCTGGATAACTGGAGAGTAATCTCCACGCTTCATCTAATTTCATCTACGGAGGTGTTCGTCGCCGCTCAGTTGCTTGCGAGTCTTTCGGGGAAACAACAACAACAGCAGCAGCATGTGTCCAGCAGTGAAGTCGATTCCCTTTCAAACCAACAGGGCACAAAGGCAAAAACTAAGCAAATGGGAACCTCGGATTGTTTCACCTGTTCTACTTGCTACGGTGTCACGCAGAGGAAAGGATCCCCAGCTTAAAAGGGGACACCCTAAGTTGATCAATCAGTCCATCATAATCATATTTCCAACCCTGACCTGGCAGTATGGAATGAAGGGACCAAAGCTTCGGCGGACTTGGCGCCCATCAACGGGTGCCGTGCAACAAGGTGGGCTTCAGAAAAAAAAAAAACTTTGGCTTCGGTGAGGCATCCGTTTTCAGGGACGGTTCCAACTCTTAGAGCTCTCGCCATGTTCAGCTGCGACCATTTTGAGGCCACAAATTCGGTGGTAAAACTTGGGGTTCCCATGTCCCCACCGAAGTCAAACATCTGGGCTGTGCACCAAGGTTTGGGTTGGCCAATCCGATTTTCCATAACCCCTATATGTAAGCCACTACAAAGTCGACCAAATCCTTGCGTAACCCAAGGTAAGGATTAAGGATTACCTTTGAACAGCCCAGAACATGAAACTGGCTACCGACTTTCCGTCGCTAACTGGGATCTGGGCATGAAAGCCCTGGATTTGTTTTGCCACCTTGGCACAAAACTCGAAATGGGGGGGGGGTACACCAAAAAGAAAGAAAGGAACAGAACATAGAGATTTGCTTCATACGGAACCTGACCCAACAAAAAGGAATGCTCAAGATCTTGAGGTTCTGAGGTTTTTGAGGTTGCTGCTGCTCGCATAGGAATTTGACTGGGAGCAGACCCAGTTACCTGGTTAGTGGGACAAGGTTCTAGGTAGAGAACGGGCTTGATTGTGGGGAACGCGCCAAACATGGACGTAGACGCCGCCACGGAACATCTGGGCATTTGCAGCTGGTAAATCACACAAATTCTGCCAGTGAACAAGTAGAGCACTCAAAGCGGTGGCCTCAACAAACAAATGCGGTAAGCCGTTTTGAACCACATCTAGAGGGAAAGTGTTTGGATGTCGCTTTTCTGGGCCTCTGAAGGGAAAGTGCTCGGATGTTGCTTTGTGGCTTTTTTGCCATCTCCAGCCTCCAACCCTCAATAGGTGTTGGTGGGCTTTGGTGAAACTGTAATGCGCCTAAGTCTTAGGGGAATCCCCGATCCTGGTGCAAAGCCCCCTAAAGTGCACCAGGCGTTTAAATTCTGGCAATGAAAAAGGTTCTACAAGAAAGACTGGGTACAGGGTTCAATGCAAATGTCTCCGTAAGCCATCCCCAAACTATCCAACAAGCCAAACCATCCACCGCATCCACTTCCCCCCATCCCATCTGAAGCACTGCACACTCGGCCGCCAAAGGTCACCATGCCTGGCTTCTGAGGCAGGGGGCCCGTGCCCAAACGATCCCAAGCGCGCCTCGAGTATTCCTCGCTTTGGGTGTGTCTTTTGTGGAGGGCCGAGGGCTCCTTCAAAAGGCAAATCCCAGGAACATCTATATATGTTCCGCCTATTTTCAGCAACCCCGGGCTTACTAGGGGCCCCTGACCAAAATGATTTGAGGTCTGGTGGGATCAAAGGCTTAAGGCCTTGGGAAGGGTCAGGCAACTATTGCTAACTGTGTGCACTATTGCATGAAAACTCGAGCGACTCGAAGGGCGGAACAACGGCACCTCTGTTCCGGAAAATGGCCGCCCCAAATCCGACTGCGGTCCGTACCATTCCCTTGCGGCCAACAAATCTTGTCCCTAGGTGATTTGGGAGGTGACTTCCTTCAGCCGCGTTTTGACCCCGCTCTTTAGTCAGCCCAGTGGCCAGTAGAAATGCCGCCTTTGCTTCAATCGCTTGAAAACGAATGCAATCCTCTCCCAAATAAAGAGGGCCGCTGTTGACCCCTCTGCAAAAAGCTTCACTTTTTGCAAGCTCAATGAAGAACCCTTGATTTCAATCAAGCAAATCAAAGTCCAAAGACCCGCCACCCAAGAGAGCAATCAAGATAAATGGCCAGCCCACTGGATGGGTTGCACCTCACCCCCCCCCCCCCCGCCTCCACCTCCTTCCCTCCCGGCCTGCGGCGTGAAGCCGTGGTCGCCGCAGCCAAACCTCCGGGGGGGCCATGGGGTACTCCGCGGGAAAGCGCACGGCACAGGTGAGGCGCTTGAAGCTGTCGTCGAACATGGTGGCCTTAGAGGGTGTGGGTTTTGGAGTGGGACGCCCTGGCCCGCTGGCCCTGGCTTTGCAGCGTCTTCGGCTCTTTGTATTGCTGGTACCCTGCTTGTTTGGTGGTTTGCAAGGGGTGGTTTCCCATTTACTTCCTACCAGACAGGGGGTTCAAACCAAACCAAACCGGCAATTAGGGGTTACCTGACTCAAAATGCCAGCGCCCGAAAAACAAGCAACCGCTTATTTGGAGGGTAACTGGAAAATAAGTTTGCTGTAGAAAGTGCTGCGTGTTCGTGGGACGAAGGGTGGGCTTCACCAAAACCTCATTCAAACCAGGGACCCGTGTGGGAACCGCCTACTACAGAATGGCCAATGAGGGCTACGTTGGCTAGACAATGCACTGGGGTTGGTCTCAGCATCACTGTGACCACCCAGAAAAATGAGCTGTGCAGTTGATCAATCCCCAATTGCGTGGGTAGGGCACAGTAGCCTCCAGCGGGACTTCTATGACGCCCTGGCCCCCTCCTTGAAAGGGAAGCCGAAAGGGGTTCAAGTTTTAAGCTCCGCCCAATGGACTGCTTCTTTCACCAGTGGCCAAAACCCGTTGGGCTGAGCAAGCTGGCCAAAGTGATCCTATCCCATTGGGCAAAAGGAGCCCCACACCCAACTGGGAAAAGCCTAGGCCCGTCCCCCCTTCATACATCGTCTCCTGTGCACTGCAAAGGGAAACCTTTTGGATTCGCCCCTCTAGATATGTACGTCAAGCCCCTTCCATAAACTACCTCGCGGAGGTGATGCAAAGCTTCGCAAAAGCCAGCTCATGCGATTAGCTCTCGCTCCTGGGCACCTCACGGGCTTCCCTCGCCCTGCCGACTGGAGGAATACTTTGTGTGGCTTCAAGGTGGGGCACAGCCAGGTTGTCCAGGCTCTGCTGCAAGCCGGACTCCGGGGGGAAGTTCATGTCCACTTCCCACTCCTCAGAAGTTGGCCAAAGTGCAACAATTCGGTGCTGCGGCTTGATATTTTCGTTCAAATGCAGGTTCTTGAGGTGCCCTGTCCAAGGCATTTGCACTGAGTGTCCACGACAGCCATTGGCTATGTTGGATAGGCTGTCGGCCGGAGGGACCCCAAGGTACCTCCTGCATCCATCCTAGAACAGACCAGTGGCTCAAAAGGTACCGGGTCCTTCCCGGAATCCGGCATCCTAGTTGCCACGCAGATTTCCACTCACAAACCTCCATTTGCTTAAGAGACCCACCCGAAAGATAGAAACATTGGGAATAGAATCATCTTTAAGCAAACAAAAAGCACAGCCCCGGTGAACACCAGCTGCGCAGCCGAACTTGCTTGCAAGTGATATTCCTGTGAGAAAAAACATGTGGACAGTTCCTCGGCACGGATGTGCAGGCAACCCCCGGTCCAGGCTTGTCTTTTCGAGCCCTGGAAAGAAAACACGTCACAGACCAGAAAGGCACCATTTCCATTACGTCATGGCGGACCCTGCAAAGTGGGGTCCGTTTTCCCCTTGAAAGGGTCTGCTCTCAAAACACAACTGCTTTGAGCAGGCCGTGAGCAACAATCTGGACCATTGAAATGGCCTAACATCATGCCAAGAATCGAAAAGGCGGATTCCCGCACCGGTGTATGCCTGGGAAGTCCCCCTAACCTTCTTCTGTCCGTTTTTGTTTGAGTCTGGCTCTTTTACTTCCCTTCAAACCAACCCGGCAATTTAAAAGGGGAGCATAAGCCGAGCTGCGAGCATGTTGTCCTCCACCGGCTCGCAGCGCAGCAAGTTTGCAGACTTTTCGGCAATGGCGGACTGCACGTGTCGGAACCTTACGCGAGGCACGTCCCATATCCCAGAGTGTTGGCTTCCGCTGCCCAACGCCCCTTCACTTCAGAAGGCGACCAAACTAACTGGACACACTCGACACACTTTCTAAGTGGGTTTAGCTGGCAAAGGCCAAACTTACCGCATGGATTGGCCTAACAAGGATAATTTGTTGCCTGCTGCCCGAAATTCACCCCGAGGTTGCATGATTAAAGAGCAAAAGGCACTTAGAACTTAGTGCCCAGCCACCCACCCAAATGAAACCAGCTCAAGGAACCTTCTCACCCCATTGCCCTATTGGCTCAAGAGCCCAGATGTTGCTTCAAATGGCTTGGCTGGAACTAGGACCCCAGCAAAAATAAAAAGACGTGTTTTTGTTTGCCTGGTTGGTGGAAAACAGAGGGAAACCCCCAAAAAGCAAAAAAAACAATGAGAAAAAGGGGAGCTAATTCTGGGGAAGATGGAAGGATGAAACCTCTGGAACCAGGTCCAGCGGCTCCACCATGAGCCGCTTGAAGTGAAGCTGCGACATGGCGCAACAGGCGCCGGGGCGCCGGCCGGCGCGGCCCTTTGCTTCCCGCCGGCGGGTGCTTTGGGTAGCTTCTGGTAGTGGGACCTCAAGGAAATCCTGGCAAAGGGTGCTTTGGGTGCCTTTGGATGGTGGGACCTCAGGGAAATCCTGGCAAAACGACCTCTGCAGCAGCCAAATTTCCGCATTTGTTTATTGTGTTCCTTGGTTTTTTGGTGCTCATGTGTGGCCACATTTGCTTGGGCTCTCCTTGGCGATACTTTAGTGACATGACGCAGACGACTGTCATCAAAAGCATCAAAGTCTGCCAACTGAACAGGCAGGTCAACAGCATTCCAACTTTGATTTGCATTCCAAATGGCCCATATGTTTACGTGGGCCCGTATATTGAGCAAGCATTCGACACTGGCCGGCGACTGAATAAAAACAAGGGGCCCCTCTACCCAGAAGACACGTTTGACTCCTGACTCGCGGCTGCATGTCTGCAACAACTGGCTATTGCATCTGTGGGCTAGATTTGTTGTCAGGGTTCTGGCAGATGACGATGTCGCGCATCCTAAAGGATTGACATATCTAGCCATATAAGACAATATTTAGAACTAATCTAGAAGCCTTGCGTACATCCTGACAATGCTTAGAGTCTACAGGGGGGTCTTGACATGAGCAACTACTGGCAATATGACTGCCAGTATTCCCCCTGCTTCTGGTAGAAAAGGAGGACTAACAATGCTTATGGTCCCCTGTCCAAACGTTGCATCACTTTTCAACCTGCCAAGTGTCTTTCTAGATGCAACGACTTCCGTCCGTGGTGCCGTGTCAGGAAGAATATGTAAGGACGGACTCAAAATGATAGGCCAGTCCCTCAGCGAAGTTATCTGGCGCACTGTCCATTCGCTGAGTGAGCTTTGGCTAATACCGCACCCCGGATAATTGGAAAGCCTTGCAACGCAACGCGCCGGTTCAAAGATGCCGAGCAAAATGCGCCCAGGTCAAAACTCCGGGGCCATTGTCCTCATTGAGGTGGTTTGCAAAGTTTCAAGACCCAAAGGCCCATGACAGGCTGATCTTAAGGTTAGGGGATCCCAAGCTGCTTGGTTTCCTTTAGGGTTGCCTTTCAAAACCAACCAAAAGAGGGTCCCAAACAAAGAATCTCCCAAAACTCCGGTGCTTTGACCGCTGTGGGTCATCGGAACTCGGGCTTCGGGAGCGAGAGGATGTGGATATGTTTGTGAAGTTTCGGATTTCACGACACTCGCCTAAGTGGAATGGCCAAAAACAACAGTGAACACATGTGAACACGGATCTACTTTCCCACTCTGAATGGTCCACCCAAGAAGTTCCACGAGGTCTGCAAAGCAATCCAGGCAAAAAGGGCACAGAAACTGACAAGCCAGGGCATCCAAGCTAGGGCATCCACATGGTTGGTTTCCCGTTGGGGGGCGCATCAACTGGCGGATTGGAACCTCCGTTTTTTCGGCTAAGGTCAATGACGCCATGCTTTCGGAGATCGCAAGGGAACTTGAAGGGAAACCCCACCGGGTTTCAGAGGGTTCGACCTCCGACTTGAGGAGCCACAATTTGGGAGGAGGTTGTAGCAAAGCTTTACTCTTTCTTCCACGTCCACTTAAAGTGACATCGGTTTCAAGGGAACCACCACCAGAACCAACTTTGAGAAACCATCAACATGTTCGTGCTTGGCCGGACTCAGACGCTCCAAAGAAGTGACTTGTTTGCTGATTCAATGTGAAGGAAACCCAAAAAGGACAAACAACAAAAACTGATACGATCATCATGCTTCAGGCACCTTTGCTCAATACTGGCACCTGCGTCCATCGCTCGTCGCTTGCCAGCGTCCATTGCGCACCGCGGATGCTGTCACTCGCCCACCAGGCTGTCGAGGACGCTGTTCACCGCGCTGTCGGTGATCCAATTGTTCTCCTCCAGCGCTTTCCTTGGTCGGGCTCGCCTCCAACTGTTGCTGTCATGTTGTTTTGTCTCCGGTTGGTGTAGCTCCTGAGGTGATTGGACTAATTAGTTCACTCCATCTCAGGTTGACCCCGGAGCAATGAGTAATCCACCTAGTGGATTATTAAGGGCGTGTTTCTCCCAAAATCCGCAACAAATCATCCTTTAAGTACCTCTGCCATCATACCAGGTCCCCCCAAACGTCTGCTTTGTTGCATCTTCAAAATCCCATACCAGCAGCAGTTCCGTGGAGGGTGGTAGGTGGACCTATCTCAATCCGGGCGGCTCAGCCGCCGCCCTCTCCACGCCTGTAAAGCTGATCACGGCCTAGGCTTTGCCAGGCTTGGGGAGACCGAGTCGCGGCGAAACGAGCAGATCTCTCAGGCATTGGGAAACACACCTCCATTTGCTTGAGTCCCCTGGAAAGAATAAACATATTTCCAGTAGTGATAGATTCCGTTTGAAACCAACAGGGGAAAATAACACATATTCTTAACCAAATGGAAGGCACGGGATCCCATAAGGGCGCTTCGGGCCTGCCCCCTCTCCCTCCAAGGGAACTCAACGGCCACCAAAGGCGACGCCTACCCTTAACTGGCATGGTAGGAGGCATGCCCCCCCCTCCAAACACTAAAGAATCCATTTGCCCAACCACCCCGCTAACAGCAGTAGAAAGCGTCCCTTGGCTTCGGATGGAAAACGAGCATCAAACACCAGTTGCCCCTGCTTTGAGCAGATTGCCAAAATGATGCTTCATGGATCAACGCTCCACCATTCAGAAGGGAACCCATTCCTCAGCAATCTGGAGTGGTCCATGCAACACAAAATGCACCAACGGGTTATCAAATGAAGCGCTGGGTGCAAGCGGCCACTAGCAGCAGCCTTGCTTTGCCCCGCAATCTCGAACAGAAAAGCTCCCTAGAAAACAGCCTGTACTGTCCCACCAACTAACATGGAAGTGCAAAAAGGTCCTTTCCAAGAGGAACGTCGCGTTTCTTCAGGGGTCTGTGCACTTCCATGTTGGCTGGTGGGAGGGTAAAAGGCTGCAAGTTATCATGGTTGTTCCAGGTCCTCGAGGCAAGTCGGCAGGCGTTTGCACATAACCCAGGTCTTCCAGTAGAGAGGTTAGATTAAGGGTACCTTGTGTCTGTAGTCTATTTTAGTAGGGGAACCCTCCCCCCAAAAAATAACGTAAAAGGGCACTGCTGGTGAGAGACCTAGTAACTGATTCCATTCCCCAAGGCATCAAGAAAGGAAAGCATTGTGATCGTCACCTTGGTAGGCATGAAGAAAGCTTCTAGCAGTCAGGAGGGTTTGCCATAAAGTGGAGCCAAAGGGACACAACCTTTTTGGGAGTCCCATAATTTTGCGGCAACTCCATCTTCTTCTGCAGGGGGGCCCTCCCACCGTTCACATCCCTTTCCAAGAACCTCGTGTTGCAACAAGTGTTCTTTGTCGGCGGGCGACTTCCCCCCCCACCGGAAAAAGGTATGCCCTTAAAACTTCTGCAGAGCCACTACCTGCGCACCACCATCCGTTTTTGGCAAGACCGAGCAGGCGGCACGCCCGGTACGCTATGGCAAGCACCCCGTCACCGCGGACCCGCCTGGATGCGCGTCTCCCGCTCCTCCTCCTCGGAGAGCCTGCAGCTCACGGAACCCCATCTGCACAAACAAACAAAACAAACAAACAAACAAAACGAACAACAAATAGCAAGCAAGCAAGCAAGCAAGCAAGCAAGCAAGCAAGCAAGCAAGCAAGCAAGCAAGCAAGCAAGCAAGCAAGCAAGCAAGCAAGCAAGCAAGCAAGCAAGCAAGCAAGCAAGCAAGCAAGCAAGCAAGCAAGCAAGCAAGCAAGCAAGCAAGCAAGCAAGCAAGCAAGCAAGCAAGCAAGCAAGCAAGCAAGCAAGCAAAGCAAGCAAGCAAGCAAGCAAGCAAGCAAGCAAGCAAGCAAGCAAGCAAGCAAGCAAGCAAGCAAGCAAGCAAGCAAGCAAGCAAGCAAACCAGCAGACCAGCAGACCAGCAGCCAGCCAGCCAGCCAGCCAGCCAGCCAGCCAGCCAGCCAGCCAGCCAGCAAGCAAGCAAGCAAGCAAGCAAGCCAGCCAGCCAGCCAGCCAGCCAAGCAAGCCAGCCAAGCAAGCAAGCAAGCAAGCAAGCAAGCAAGCAAGCAAGCAAGCAAGCAAGCAAGCAAGCAAACCAGCAAACCAGCAAGCAAACCAGCAAACCAGCAAGCTAAAATACAAACACGCAAACACACAAACACACAAACATACAAACACACAAACAACGTAATCCAGGCAGGAAAAGACAAACAAACAACGCAAAGCCTTGCAAAGCAAAGCAAGCAACACACACACACACACACATGCGCGCGCGTACACACACACACACCGTCTCTTTTCCTAAATCAATTTAGCATGATACCAAAGGGAGCTACCCTTGCGAGAACCTGTAAACTCATTGACATTGAAAAGGCGCGGACAGTAGCCAGCAAAGCCAAGCTAAACACACATGATAAAAGCCGAGAAACCTAGACAATCCAAAAACTGTTTGAAAACAACCTAGTACAAATCGACAGGAAACAACACTTAAATACATGGCCTTCAGGAAATCAAACCACCTGCGATCTGCGCGGCTGAAATGAGCTTTGGGGACTTTGCACAAGTACCACACCAGGCAGCGTAGTGCACAGGCACCCTGCCGAGAGGAACATCGTCTTGCCCTTCCGCGTGTGCTGGTGAGAGGGTACCCTTAAAGCGCAAAAGGAAGCCACAGGAAAATTAACCGCGTGGAGTCTAGCGTGGTGCCGAAATTGTGAAGCCCACCAATCGTTGCAGTTGGCACTGTTTTCTAGAGCCACAGGTATCCGCTCAAAAACACACACAGCCGTATGGAGCCTATGTACCTTTGGGCTGCTTGAACAGCCAAACACGTGCCCTGCTGGGCATCGAACCCATTTCAGCCCAGTCGCGATCGGCGCAGCTGGGGCTTGGCCGGCTTGGCCGAAGGACGCCTCGCCGATCGCTCGCACTCAAAACCAAAGGGGTACATGATCAAAGTTCAAAGACTTGCCCCACTGACCCGCGGAGCAAACCCCAAAGAAGGCATTTGACAGTTGAGCCTTGGCTGGAGCTTGTTTACCCTCGTTTACCTTGACTGAAGTTGTTTGGGCTCCTATTGAATGCTGTTTGCATCAAATGGGCGATCGTCTCGGCATGTCGGGTAGGTGGTTGGACATGGGCAAATCCAAAGTTATGGTTGCAAGCCCCCTTACCCTTCCTCCAGCTAACATGGCACCTGTGGGGAGGTGCCTGGAAGATTCATTTCCTTTTGAAGGGAGCTCCTGTCAGTTGCCATGTTAGTTGGAGGGAGGGTAATTAAGTTGTTTGGGCTTGGACCAAAAAGAATGAGATTCCGATACCCCCGAAGGCTTCAAAGCGGAAGTGTGCCTGCGAGATTTGTCTCGAAACGGGCACACACACACACAAACTTGTTGGATTTCATGCTGGGCTTCAACTCGGTTTCCCTTCAAACCGGGCCAAGCGAGCCTAGTACAAATGCAGTTTACCACATTTGACCCTTGAGGCAACAACATCGGAAAGGCATACAGTGTCCAAAAGGTTTCGAAGGCTGGTGTTTCGATCAAACTGAAGTCTTCAGTCCTTCTGACGTGCAAGTGGATTCAGCTTCTTACGGACCAACGCCTCCATTTGCGGAAAGTTGACAACATGTGCTTCTAGCAATGAAATTGATTCCCTTCAAAACCTCAGCAATTTGGACTAAATCGCAGAATCGTTCTTAAAGACCCCGGTCCCTGATGGGGGAGCGGGTACTTGAATGGTAAGAAACCCTTCTTGGACTTGCAACCAATGCCGCAGGGATCCAAAATCTCCGGGTTACTATTGTTGACCCCATATTAATCAACTCCCCCAGTTTATTCATAGGGGGTTCAACCTGGCTTTAGTTGGGAACCAGACCATTTTTGGAGCGGAACCCCCCCTATGAATAAACAGGTTGGTTGATGAAAATATGGGGTCAACATTGTTAACATCTTGGTTGCTGTTGACCCCCCTGCGAAAAGTTTAACTTTTTTGGGTATAGTAGAAAACACCTTTACTTCCCAAAAAGTTAGAGTCTAAAGATCCAAGCCAATAGCAGCCAAGACATTACTGACTTACCGGCCTACCGAATGGATTTCTCCTCTGCCAACCCCTGCCAACCCCACCACCCCACCACTCCAACCCCGCCGCGCGACTTCGGCGCGAGCGCGCCTCATGGGGGAGTCCGGCGGCAGGATCTCGCCGGCTTCGTACTTCGCCTCCGCCTGCCGGGGGCAGAAGGCGGCCAACCGGCGTCCCCAGCCCCATGGTGAGCAGCAACCAAAGCAACATGTGGATGGTCGAGATCCAAAGGTACATTTTGGGGTAGGTGCACCACCCATTTTGGTCCATTTTGGTGGGGATTGGGATGTTCACTGGGGTGTACGGGATTTTGACCATGGCCATTTCGCATCACGAAATGAAACCATGGTCGAAACCCAGGATTTGTTAAGATAATTCCGTTGGGGAATCGTTCATCATTCCCTTGGGTTTCTGAACTCTGGTGGGAAATGAGGATTTCGCAACCCACAGTATTGGCTCTACTTAGACCCCTACAAGCTTGGGTGCTGTAGATCCCCCAGCAAAAGTTTAAACTTTGTGCTGGTTAGGGAATCCAAAAAGTTAAAGTCTAAAGATCCAACCCAATAGCAGTAGAGCAAGTACCATCCAAACCACCACCTAGTGCGCAAGTGAAGCATAGCCGCCATGGCCTCCTCAAGGGATAGCCCGGCGCGCAGGAAGCGCTGCATCTCGAAGGCGCGCTGCGTCCTAGCGGACAACTCCATCGGGTCCTTTGCAAAACCTACCGGATGCACTGAAAAATTAAACGCCCCATGATACAGTTGCACGGTTTTCATTTGGCCAACATATATCCTTTACCTTCATTTGCTTAAGTCGCTGGGGAAAAAAAACTGTCCAGTCGTCAGTCCCGTTCTGCTTGGCCCAGCAAAACATATTCTGATCCGCTTGAACGGAAGCAACAACCGGAAGCCGAAAACAGGGGTCCTGAATGGACCCACTCAAAAATCACTTGCAGCTGGCCAAACTGGCGTTCAGTGATGGTAAACATGTATCTTAAACTTGGTTGCTGTTGACCCCGCAAAAAACAAATCACCCGTGATTCCCATGGAAACTCCATCTCCCGGAAAGTCGAAGTCCGAAGATGCTTTACCAAATAGCCATAAAGCAGAGGAAGCAATGGACGAAACCACACTCAAAAGGGGACATGGGCGTGACGTGTTTTTGGGGGAACCCCTTCTGGTTGGGTTGAAACTTGGGGGTTTAGTGGAAACCCCCCGTGGTTTTCCAAAAGCTAAAGTCTAAAGATCCAACCCAATAGCAGTTAAGTAAAGGAAAACCAAAACGATAGGCAAGCCCCTGGGCAGCGAAACTCTGCGTTGACAGTCCCTCTCATTTTGATTCGCGGAGTGAGTTGCTCGCATACCGCACCCGAAGGAACCCTGGGAACCAAGTTGCCCGAAGTGCCCAAAAATACAATGTGAACCTTTCAGAACCTGGACCACAAATGGTTGCTCATACGGGGAGACTAACAGGGCAAAGGAGATGCCACATCCTAAACTCACTAACGTCACCAAGAAGAAGTGGGCTCACATGGCCGAGGGACTTCGCCACAAGCCCATAAAACTACAGCGTCGGTGATTTGGACAACTGAGGCCAAGAAATCAGAGGTCAAAGGTCAGCGTCTTGGGCAAGCAGAAAGTGACTGCAAAGATCTAATGCTAACTCTATGTCTCCAAAAGTTCTCAAGTTCGAAGATCCGTTACACATACTCACTTGCGCAAAAAACACCTGGACATATATAAGGTCCACCTTTTGGGGCCACGAAAAATGGACCAAGAAGGGAAAACCAAAAGGTCCAAAGGTGGGGAGGCCGGGGGGGGAAACTGAGCGTAGCCCTAAACACAAGCGTCCTTTTGGGAAAAAAAGATGGCCCTAATGGGTCATAAAACCCGATCCAAACCAGTGCCTATTCTTAACCAAACTGACCTAAAAAGGACAGCTATGGCCTATGGCCATACAGCCAGGGCACCCTGAAAAATCGGATCCCCCGCGCCTAAAAACCAAACGCCGCGCCTCGCCAAGAGGGTGGCCTCGTCCCGCTCCGGCACCGGCGGCGGAGCCAGGACCTGGTGGGCGCCCAAAAAGCGGCGCCTCTCTTGGCCAAACAAAAAAAAATCACATGCCCAGGTGTGTTTTTCTAGGTTGGACATAGATGGGTTTTCCTGGTAGATGATTGGGCACCAGGTAAACCAGGGCCACTTTTCTACCAAAACAACCAAAAAAGACACCTATGATCACATGGAACAGCAAAAGGGGGGGGGTCCCCAAAAGGAGCTTCCTCTGAAAAGCATGGCTTTTTGGGGGCAGCTTCCTCTGTAAAGGATGGTTTGTTGGGGGTTCCGTGTTATATACAAATTAGGAGAAAAAAACACCAAACCAACGATGCCTGCCGACTCTGTTCCAAATTCAGCCACCCTGGGTGCGCAGCCAACAATGTGTTCTGTCTGCGGTACACATCAAAACAGATGTTCCGACTCTCTTCCAATTTTTGCAACCCGCAAAATATAGAAACCTGGGGCACACAGCAAATATGTTCTGACTCTGTTCCATATTTAGCCAACCCAAAATATAAACATCTGGGGTACAGTGCGATACTCAGTAGGAGCCTTCTTTTTTGACTCTGTAATTACCATGATTGGTGCAGTTTTGGGCCAAGGAGAATGGGCTGATCTCATGATTCGGTTCGGAAATTTGTCCTTGAAGCATTGCCCCAAAGCACCCCTGGTCCAAAATTGCTCACCCAAGACGCTAACGTCTTTATTGTAATTCAGGTTGGCCCGACGTAAAGGAAATGGGAAGCACTTTGTCATTGCTTGGACTACGGCTTGCCACCCAAAAACTAAGGAAGCCAATTCGAATTGGTTGGTGCACTTGCAAGGATTGGGTGCTTCTTAACATTGGGGCCCCACAAAAAGCGAAACAACCAGACTCGCAAAAAGGTTGCTAAATAGCCAAGTGTACCAAATAGGGGTGATAGAGATGGATCAAATGAGACGCAAGCCAATCGCCACTTGCAACAAGTGACCCTTTCTGGGAATGCGTCAAGATAGGAAACCCCAAAATGGGGTGGTTGTCCATTTGGCTTCAACTTAACCAACCCCAAGAAGGGTACTGGTACCATCACAAGAACCTCAGACACAAATGGAACTTAAAAACTAAATCTTGCAAAAAGAACAACTTGAAGACTCGGGAACTGGACTACCATGTCCTCACAGAATTTCTGGCAGCTCCGAAAGGCTGCAGTTTCCCCCAGCTCCAAGTCCTGCCCCCTTCCAGCGAACTGGGTTTGCCCCAAAATAGGGAGGTCTCCAAACATGGCTTCGGTTTTCCTTGTGGCCTCCCCTTGCACCAACCCAAAAAGGGTAGCTTGCTTTTGGCCTCCCTTGAAACCCAAGCCCAACGTCCGTGTTCTCCAAACATGGCTTGGGTTTTAAGCCAACCCCCCCCCCCCCCAAAAAAAAAAAGAAAAAGAAAAGAAGCTCAGATGCCCGGTGGCCATGGGGAAAAAAGGGCACCCTTTTTTGGTGGTTGAGTTTAAAGGGGAACCCTTACCCAAACGAAAAGTATTGATAAAAAGGGAGCACCCCGCTGGGCAACAGAGGATATGGGGGCGCATATTAAGGTGGACCTGTTTGGTGAACCCCGATGTGCCAAATTCCCAGTGCTGTCCGGTGTTGGAACGCATCATTCCTCGAATTTCTTTTCCCAGACTTCTCGCCCGAGCGCATTCTCCGCCGGCGTTCGACGGCGCACGCCCGCGCCTCTGGCACCGCGTCCGAGGGCACCCGGCGCCGCGAAGGCGAGGCCGCCTGGCCGGGCGACGGGTTCACGGCCTACGTTCGCCTTTTTTGACCATATGTTCATGTGTCCAGTTTTGTCCGGGTTTCCCTGAAAACGCCAATCGAAAGGGGGCCGCATATGTTGACGCACACCAAGCTGGAGTCCATGAGTCAATGCTGTGGATGGACAAAATCCGTTTCGCAACACTTTGAATCCATGGTTTCTTGTTATTTACGGGGGGAGGTGGTGCTAAATAGATTTCATCCACCCACAGTATGTTCATATGCCCAGTGATGGACTTCCTTTAACACCAACGGGGGAAAATGAAATACAATAATTTCAGCAAACCCAAGGGGTTTTCCTTGACAACAAATACAGAAAACAACACATACGGGTTGAGGGCAGAAGGAAAGCCAAAGCATAACCACCAGTTTGGGTGGGGTCCCCTTAGAACAATGACACACCCATTTAGGCATGTGTTGTTTTGAGGGTGCGATGTTAGGGCCCATGTTAAAGGGAAACAAAGGGAAACAAAGGGAAACAAAGGGAAACAAAGGGAAACAAAGGGAAACAGTCTTGGGGGTCTCCTGTTTTAAGACACACCCATTTTGCACCCCCACTCTAACTAGGGTCCCAAGACACAAAATATTTGTGGTCGTTTGGGATAAAAGGCCAAAGGTCTTGGGAAGGGTCAGCAAATCATAGAATTGCTGAATGTGTGTACCATAGCATTAACTGAACATATAGTCTAATAGCATGCGATACATCAGGGATATCAGCTACACACATGTTCGCACTTCCGCGGCTAAATGACAAGTTGGTGTTCGCAAGCCCACGATGAGCATCAGTAGCATTAACCAACCCCCCCAAAAAAGGTGCTTTTTTGGGGGCAACCACTCCCTGCCCCGAGGCCACAGCCCAAGCCCACCTAACAGCCTGGAGTTTTTGCCGAAGAATGAGACCCAAACCAGCCAGCCTAAAACCCACGCACCCTGCGCAAACTCCCGACTCCCACCAGAGCCAATAGGCAAGTCTGGGGATGCGGCCAAGCAGACCTAGTAGCGAGTCAAGCTTCTTCTCAAGGGCATATCTCTCTTCATCTTTCTTGGCAGGGGGGTGTTGACCCCTCTTAAAATCATCCCCCCCACTTCCTGAGTGAACTGGCACAACAACAACTCCAAACGGTCTAACCACCAAAAAATCGTCTTCCCGAAGATTTCGTCCACTCAGGGAGTGAGTGACACCCCCTTTACTGCCTTGATTCGAACCAAAGAACCGGAACCAGCCCAGAGGCTCCGATTTTCGGCCTGGGACCGCAGCACCTTGAACAACTCCTCGTCCTTGTCGGGCGCCTGCTCCTCCTGACCCCCAACCCCCCGGTTTTTGGAAGCAAACCCATTTGGGGGCTGGTCCCCTTTTTTTGAGGGGGCCTCTTTTTCATGGTTTTAGAGGGACACCATGAGGAAAACCCTCTTTGGTTCTTTTTTGGGAGGGGGGAAGAAACACCCACTTGAATATGTGACAAAATAGGGGGACCCAAAAGTTTCCCCTGGACAGTCAGTCGTCGCAGTCATTTTTGGGTGCAGCAGCCTTTTGAATTCTTTACATGGTTCTGGGATCATGTTAATACCAGGATTTGATTGTGACTCACTTGCCCAAAGTTGTGGGGGTTGATTCACCATGCTTTCCAACCATCGTTCTTTTCGCTGGAAGTTTCCTGACGGTTTCCCCCAGAAAAGCGATCGCCCTTTTGACCATTTGGTTTCCCCTTTTTGGTCCATCGCGACCCCAGAAGGTGAACCTAGGGTCGCAACTGGCAACTGAGAGCCGGCACCCCCGATGGGATTTCCTGAAACCCATTTGGGCCTTCAAAAAGTGGTAGTCCAAGTTTGGGACCTGAACTTGTTGGATTCCTCGTGTTTCACAAGCGGTCCCTTGTTCGACGTCTTGAGAACACGTGGCACGTCAAGCAAGTTCCCAATAAGTCTCAATTTCCTTGACTAAAAGTCAAAGTAAATGCAATTTAGTTCGTTATCTTAGACTATCACTTTTCAGACCTCCAGGGGAACAACTTTGTTTAGCGTGTTCATTTGATGATCTACCAACAAATGACGCCTTTTTTCCGAGGTTGGGACTGGTTGGTTTCCTTTTGGTTTGCCTTTGGCTTTGCTTGCTGTGAGTACCACCAAAAAGAAGGGGTCCGATTTTAGGACGACCGCACAGTTTGGAACATCCCCAAGGTGGCCGAACAATCCAGGGCCCATCAACCTTGCAGACGGGTGCTGCCCCTCCCCCCCCCCCCAAAAAAAAAGAGAAAGAGATCCGGAAACTTGGAAATAAATGAATAGGACACTCCTTCTCATGGGGTTTAGGAATCCTGGGTTGCCAACCTCCCAGCATCATGAAAGTGCATACCTGAAACCTGTCCGTGAATTCAAGAGGATTTATGCCACGGAAGCCAAGATCCACAAATATGACTCTGCTCAGTGTGACCCTCTAAATCTTGGGGGGAGGGGAAAGTTGTTGATGTTTGACTTCTATTTCACACCTGGTCCACGCGCAAATAGCTTCAAGAAGCCTGCGGTGTGTAGCAATTGACCCCAAAGACACTGTTTAAGAGGCCTCCATTTGCGTGTTTGACCCCTGCAAAAAATAATATGTTTTCCAGTAGTGATAGGTTCCCTTTAAAGCTGACAGGGGAGAAAAAACGAAAAAAAATAAGCAAATGGAAGGATGCAAAGCTGGAATGGGCAGGGGTGAGCTTCTCTGTCTCCAAAAGGATGGGCAGTTTTGTTCCTGAGGGCGTCTTTGCTTCAGGGGGCGACGTAGCCCAACTTCTCAAAGCACACCAAATCCCGGTGTTCAGCTGTGTGAACTGAACTCGAGTATGTTTTTTGTCAGATGATTGGTGTTGGTTTCCCTTTTAAAGCTTTTCAGACCGACCCAAATGCGTTCTCAACACAGACATCTCGTAAAGTGCTACTCATCAACCAAAAGGGGTGTGCTGTTTTTGCGGGTACCTTCCACCTCGCTTTAAATGCAAACCAACTTTTGATTGTGGCTCAAGTGAGTCTATCACAATAGCAAGTAGGACCGTATAACGACGCCGTGTCCTGCACACTCAAGGCGCTTCGATGCAGGTCTCGGGTGATGGGGTCCTCTTCCTTCAGCACCTCTCTGGCTGTGCGGTGTTTGGAGGTTGGAGGTACCCTCTTCAGGAATTTCAGGTTGGTTTAAAGGGAAACCCAAACTTGTTGGCTTGATAGGGAGGGATTGAGGGAATGACCCGAGAGAAACCAATCCCCATGGTTTCCTTTAAGGGAATCACTGGGTTCATTCCCAACATCCTGGGTCATTCTGTACTGAGCCCCAGCAAGCAAAGGACAACCGCAATTTGCTGGGGTGCCATTTCCTAGTTTGACGCATACCCATTCCATCCCACTGGGTGGGAGACCCCATCGACCAAACCTCTAGCTGGAAGAAGTGGGCCCTGGCTGCACATCCCCCAAGAGAAATGTTTTTGGAGGGGACCTCCTTAGGTGTGGAAACCCCTTCCTATACATTAGGAAGTTACAGGGTGTATCCAGTCTGGCTTTTAGCAGTCTGGATTGGTGCGGGGGCTGGACGGAGTCCCATTTAGCTCAGCAAGCAACAGCTGCAGGGACAGTTCTTCAGTTCAAGTACTCAGCAGGTTCGCAACCAACCAACCAACCAACCAACCAACCAACCAACCAACCAACCAACCAACCAACCAAGCAACCAACCAACAAAAGCAAGCAAGAAAGAAAGAAAGCATGCAAGCAAGCAAGGATGCAGCCCAGAACCTGACGAGCTTCCCTCTTGAATTTCTTGGAGTCCGAACCCAGCAGTTTCAACCCGATTTCCAGCCAAAACCAACCCTCCTGCCCCCTGCCTTCTTGGGGAAGGCCATCCGCAAGTAAATGCCCCAGGGCAAGGCCTCCCGGCACGGCCCATGGCTGTCAAGGGCGCTTTCCAGGGTATTGTATTTTGGAGACATTTTGTGGGTTGATTCCTTGTCCATTCTTTTCAGCCATCGTTCTTTTCAAAAACCAGCCATTTCCCCAGGGCGTGTGGTGGTTTTCCAGAAAGAAGGATCCCTGGAAAGAATGGGGAAGCTACCCCAAGAGAAATGGGTGTCGGTATGCCACGAACATATTTTCGCTTGCAGCACCCCCACACCTCCAAACCCCGTCCCTGGAAAAGGCCTTGATCCCTAATGGTAAGTAAAGGAACCGGTCTTTTCACCATGGCACATGGTGGGCACGACGAACCCTGCCTTCTTCAAACAAGTAGCCTAGCGCCATGGCGGTTAATTTGCGACTCCATGTTTGTCGCCTAATAGGTGGGTTGAGCATCCAAATGGTTGGAAATGCAGGTGTGAACCTTCTGCCGACGCCCAGTCCCAATCTAAAATGACATGTTTTTACCAAAGCAGCCAACTTCCCATGGGGGTTGAGCAGGGTCCAGTATGTGGTTGTTGTTTTCCTTACATGAAGTGTAAAGAATAAGCTTTGGACCCTGATAGATGGGCCTAATGCTCCCTGCCATTCCCTGCCAAAGGATGTCACGCAATGACACAATGAGTCCCGAAAAAGCAGGTCCCAAGCTTGAACAACGCTACATTGACCTGAGTTGATGATGGACAAAACCTGCAAAGACAAAGCGTTAAAGTTTGTCAACAGTTGTACCACCACAAAATCCAAAACACCCGCCTCCCCTAAACCCCTCCTTCCCGGTTTCCTCATCTTTGGCCTTTCGGAGCACGGGGCTTTGGAGGTTTGAGGGAGAGGGCTTGGATCCGAGTGCCACGGGACCAGCTTAACCCTAAGCTGAAACTTGGAAACCCCCCCCCCAAAAAAAAAAACGCCGGGGACTTGCGCATTTGCCGCTAGGGAGCCCGACAATTTCCACACCTGGTGCATTGGCCCAAGAAGATCAGGTTGGTACAAGAAGAAAACACAAACAAAACATGGCCCCCTCTTGCAAAGACTCTGACCGTCTGACCCATGACCCACTCCGTCGTCCTGCCTTCTTGGCCCAATCGCTCTCCAAGGCAAGGACCACTAGGTGGGCCACCGGAACGTTCTCTGGAAACCGCCCTGGCCGCAAATTTTGAGAAGCGGCGCTTAAAAACCGAAGAAACAGCGACTGTCCACCATCCACATGCGTCGAGGAAGAAGCCAGCGGTTCCTTCGAGGATGCTTGATTGTTTGGGTTGGACACTGTTTAGGCGGAACCGAACCCACCGAACACAAATCTGAACAGGCCAGACTTTGGCATACTGAGCGCTTCTGCAATTCCAAAGCGAGCCATCCCAATGACTACTCTGGCCCTCTTCAGCGGGTTGCGTTGGACTTGATATCACAAAAAGCGGCCCCAAAACCCTAACCCGAGATGAAAGTACGCGCAACTCCCTTGTTGTGGTGTTCGCATAAGGCAAACGAAAAGATACTCTAGGTCCTCCAGTAGAGAGGTTAGAATCAGGGTACCCTTTTTCTGCATACTAGGAGAAACCTCCCCCAAAAAGGGTAAAGGGCACTACTCGTGGACCTCCTGGTTGACGTTTTAAGGGGAGCAAAAAAATAATTTTTAGCAGTTAGGTGGGGATTTCCACCACTAAGCCACCATAAGGAAAATGAAAATTTGTTTCCCAACGACGTGTATTTCCCACCAGCGTGCTTCTCCCCTTCCCTGGGTCCCGCCTTTCACCTGGGAGCCGTCAGGCATGCGCAGCGCAGTCTCCACTTCGCCTAGGCCAGCCCTAATTTTTTGGCAAACCGGGCGATCCCCGAAATGGGCTCACCTCACCGTGCCTTTTTGAAGGCTGAGTATGGTTTACCCATAACTCCTTGGGTGTGTTCTAGGACATGGGTCCGCGTACGGTGGTTGGTCTAGGATTCCCCTGGAGTGTCACGGCTCACTTTGAAAAAGATGCTACAACAAGTCATCACCATAGGCGTCCTTTTTGGGAAAATAGATGGCCCTGATAGTTGTTTGAACCACTAGGTAAACCAGGAATCGCCCTCTACTTTTCAATCAAATCAACCAACCAGGACACCTATGATCAACACCCTCGTGCTGCTTTTTCCATGGCCAAGCCTCCAACTTCCACCCCCTCTCCCATCGCGCCTGTAGCCTCCTGGCTCGGCTCCTCGGCACGCAGCCTTGCCGGGGCTAGGGGCGGGGCGTGTTTGGCGGGCCTTGGCTTCGGGGAGATTCCAGGGTGAAAGTGGAGGGTTCCGCCCGCAAACGAAGCGACGACTTTGGAAGATGAGGTTCCTCTTCAAGGACCCCGGCATTAGCAAAACGAGAAGTAAACGTTTTTGGCGGTATCCAAGGATCCCTGGCAAACATACCGAAGGCGCATCTCCCGATGAAGAAGAATCCTGCTGGTGGGTGCCTTATCTCAACATTTGAGGTTTTGTTCATGTGCAAAGTGGACCTCGTCTGCCAACGTTAAGCCAACGCACTGAGCAGTTGAACAGGGTTCCTTCAAGGATGCATCCTGATGTACAAGGGGAGCCTCCTAATGTCGATGGACAGTTGCATTCTTGTCAACTTGCCCACCTGCGGCAAGTGCTTGTCTCACAATGAGCCCCGCGAAATGTTTGGCTTTTTGTTTGAACATGGCAAGAGGTCCGAGAAGTCTCCTGTTGTTTGGATCTTCCCAGCTCCGTGGCATCCCGCGGCGCTAAAAACGCGCGCCACGGGCGCGCTTTTCGCGTCCAGCGTCGCCGCGCCTGGCGCGCTGCAGGAGCTGCTCGTAGCGCGCCAGGCGCGCTTGCTGCCGACGCTCCTGAAGCTCCTGCGGCGAACAACGACCCGAAGCACTCACCTATGGCTCCTTGAGTCCGCAGCTAGGTTCCCCTGAAAAAAAAGCGACAAAACAAGGGAAACTACCCTAAAAAAAGATACCCCAAATGAATCTGTCAGTTGTGTTGTGGGTACCCTTGGGGTTCAGGTGAGGGAACCCAAAGGTTGAATCGCCACACATGCTCTTGCGATTCCTTATTTAAAGACGCGCGAAACATTCCCCATGCCCGTGTAAGCGTTCCAAGCTTCGGGGACCAGGATCGCCGAATGACCCTGTTCTGGATTTGCCTTACACTCCGAACTTGTTTGCCAACTCAAATGGTCCAGACCATGTCCTTCACCTCCTGGAACTCCTCCTCCCTCTTTACAAGCGAACTTGGTTCCCTTCCAACCGCCACCCAGCACACCCAAGAAGCGTCAAGTGCAGGAACTCGGGGAGTGACCCGTTTTTGTTGGATGGGACTTGTTCCGCGTGCAAGAATGAGCAAACCCATGTTGTTTAGTGGCACCTAACCTCACTTCCTTTGTGGATTGGCCGGAAAAAAGTTTAAAGTTTTGCTTGCCACTAAAATGGACTTACCCAAAAAAGACTTTTGTCCAGGAACGCAGGAAGTGAGAAACAGTGCCTACTCTCGGGGACAACTGTTTCTTGTACTGGGTCTGTGAAAGGCCACCAATATCCATTTCGGCTGAATTAGAGAACCCCCCCAGGAAGGAAATGGCTTTGCAGTCTCGCCCCCGAGGAACCCGCTACGGACATCTAGAGTCGGTTCTGCCAGAATACTTTGAACAAGGCCCGAAATGTCCAGCCGAGCCCAGGAAAACGGGTTCCCCAAACACAGCTGAACGTCTTCGTTGCCGTTGACCCCTCTGCAAAAAACATGTGGGTCCAACTCGGAAAATCCGAACTGTTTCAACCAAAAGTCAATTTCCAAGGATTCGAAACCAAATAAACATAAATGGTGACATATCAGTTCTGCAACCCAGTTCTTTGGATTGGGACAGCCGATGCCCTACGTGGACCCCCTTGTATACGAGCCGGCCCTCTTCAGTCCTTCTGACGTGCAAGTGGATTCAGCTTCTTACGGACCAACGCCTCCATTTGCGGAAAGTTGACAACATGTGCTTCTAGCAATGAAATTGATTCCCTTCAAAACCTCAGCAATTTGGACTAAATCGCAGAATCGTTCTTAAAGACCCCCTCTTTAACCAATAGTGTCAAACAAACATGAAAGCACAGGGCTAAGCCCCCTTCAAACAATACTGTCAACATATGATGATCGAACAAAGGGGGAACATTCAAAAACCTCCTGAAACACAACCAAACAACCAACCAACCCACCAAACAAACAAACAAACATAAAAGCACATGGTGAACAATCTAAAGCATCCTGAAACAGTCAACTGGTACCCCCAGACACTCACTCAGCCGCCCTCCTGGCGCGAGGCCGCGGAGCGCTCCCGGCGGAGCTTGATGGAGCCCAGCACCCGGTCCTGGTACTCCTGCCAAGCCAGCCGATTTCAGCGGCGATGGCTGGAGGCGGCTGGAGGCGGCTGGAGGCTTCGGGCCCCAAGAGGGGGCAGCTGAGTGGTTCAAGCGAAACCAGGCAAAAGAAAAAATAAACCAGCTTAAATTGGAGTTGCCTTCAAGTAGGGTGTGCAACCTGTTTGGGGGGAGCCCCCCCAACAAAAATGGGTGGGTTTCACTTTTGGCCACCCTTTGAAAACCCATATGAGAAAAAGGGTAGCAGTCCCACCCCTTTCACAGCCGGATCCTGACGTTCGGGACCGAAAGGTCAAAAGGAAAATTGTCCAAACCAGGACTCAGGGTCCATATTGATTCGTGGGAGGGTAACCTACGGAAGCTTCTCCCAACAAAGGGGAGGTTCTATCTAGCCTTCCTCCCCGAAACAGAAGGCACCGAGAGGGGAAATTACACGGAAGATCAGTTTCCACTTGAAAAACCTGTGCTGCGTTAGTAGGAGGAACTGTACGACCTGCATATTGAATATGCAATCTTCCCCCCAAAAGGTGGTTTGGATTGGTTTGGATTGGGTTGTAATTGAAAACACATGTGGTGTGGATTGGCTTTCCAGGGTGAGTCACCTGTTGTTCTGGGGAAACCGCCATTGGGCCCTGACAAACGTAGGTTCAAAACGGGGCAGGGCACGTAGCAAATGTCATGGCTGGAAGCCACTTAGAGTGGGCTAGAACCATGGCATTGGTGGGTTATAACTTATTGCAAGTACACTGCCTCTGCAAGTGGTTTCATCGGGGTGTGGTAAAGCATACTTACGGCTCCCAATTAGCAGTTGGTGGAATGGGATTGAAAGAAATGGGGTCACTTTGGGTTTCCTTCAATCCAACATGCATGGCGCCAAAATTCAGGCTATCCCAACTAGAAAGTCCGGGAACCCGTGCGGTGAGTTGGCTCTATGGGGAGTGGCCCGTTTGGGTTTCGGGTGTCCGCGTTAGGTTTCGGGTGTGGGCCCAGGCAGCGCCACAGACCTAGACAGTACGTCAGGCTCGTTTCTCCCGCGGATTGGTGGTTTGGTGAGCCCAGGTCATAGCTCCATGCAGAAAGGGTGGAGAAAAGCAAAAGGCAAAAGACTGGTTATGGCTTAAGTTGATCACTAAGATGTGGTGAGTAGATGAGTGCCATGCTTATTATGTTTGCCAACCCCTGGTGCCTCCCCCTTTCAGCTAGGCCATCCCCTGGATGCCAAGCTTCGAAAAGGACATGCCAATGCTGCTCACATGTGTCCAAGCGACAAAGCTCCATTCGTTGGCCTTTGTCAAATAACCCTCTGACTTGAGGCTGAAGGCGAAACACCCCCCAAAGATGTGCTTTTGAGAATTTAAGGCCTTTCTTGGCCTTGACCGGTTTCCGTTCAGGATGCTAAGCCTTGACTCCTTATTGAGCCTTAAATTCATCTTTGGGCTCCCTCCCCCTCCTCCCTCCCCCCCAGCCCCCAAGAGGATAGCCCGGTTCCGTGTGCCTTCGTGGCCGCCTCGTCCTCCAAGTCCGGGGCTGGCTCGAACTCCACCTGACGAAAGCTGGCCCCAGGCGGTTTTTGACCTTAGCCCCAGGAAGTCATCTGGGGGGAGTCTAACCGGGTTGAGGGAATCACCTGACGAAAGGTGGCCCAAGGTGGCCCAAAAAGAAATTTCACCAGCCTAATATAAGGTGGTTGGGGGGCCATTCCCCACATAAACCACCATTTGGGGTGAGGTCGTGTGAGGTCGTTATGATTCACCCAGATGCATAGGGGGAGTCTACTAACCGCGTTGGACCACCACCCGGATTTTTGGGGGGAACCAGGTGATTTGTTCTTGTTCCTAGGGGGTGTCCCTGAGCTTGGGGAATCACTGGAGGGCCCCCACCCCTATGAGCAGGACGGGTTGAATCATCCGCGGTTGACGTCGCCTAGTGTTGCGCCCCCGCTTCCTGCTGTGGATTGCCCTTGAAAGCCGACGTGAAGACTTCATCCACGTTACCCGCAGATGCTGGGTGACAAACGGTGCTCCATACCAATTGACTTTTGGGCAGGTGAGAAGACAACCAAGGGAAAAGGTATTAAATTCCCTTGAAACCGGGGGCATCACCCTACATATGTGGTATGTGCTACAGCGCTACATCAGGGTACGCAAATGTGTAAACATATAAACATACAGTATGTATATATATATATACACATATGTATATTTGGGCATGAGCTCAAATCAGTGGGTTCCAAACGGCCCGTGGACTTCGGATAGATCCAACTGCCGGTTCCAACGCCAAGAAACGGATCACCTAAGGACCTTCATGGGCTTTCGCTCGTAAACCCAGACCGGTGGAATCGCTCGCGATCAAATGGGCGCATCATTTTGTCACAGCTGCTTGCTTGTTTGCGTTGTTAGCTGCGCAGCACTAAAAGAAGTCGCAAAAGCAACTGGACCAAACCCCAGAACGATGTAGCGATCAAGCAAAACTGCTTCCCAGGCCATGGCTATGAATAGCAAATTGGCGGGATGCCTGATACCTCCCAAGCCCCCATTCTGTGAAAATCTCTAGGACAGGCCCTTCAGCACATTGCATATGAAGGGGGTGGCAATTCAGCATATGATCAAGGCAGATAGCACCCCTCCAGATTACTCAAGCAAAGTAAAGTAAGGTCCCCCGGTACCGTCGCAAGCGGTTTCCAACCCCTCAGAAAACCGCCCAAAGTTTACCAAGGGCCCCCCTGAGAAATTCATTGAATATGAAACAAGAAGATGAGATCAAATGTTGATAGGAACGCCTAAATAGCAACATATAACACAATGTGCTCAGCTTGTTTCCCTAATCTGGGTACCAAATAAGGGGTCCGCAAAGAAGTAGTTACTCCCCCATTGGCTGCTTGAGGGGTTCTACGTTTTGCGCGCCAGTTTCACGCCTAAGAACAAGAGCCCCCGCCTTAAACTCGAAGTGGTGCTCAACGTCCATGTCCTCAGAGTGCCCACGACTAAACGGGGGACCTCTCTCGTTTCGAGCACCTCGCCTCGGAAGCCACCCGGCTCTTGAAGGGACCCCCCCCACATGAAAACCCGGCACCATACAACCGAAGAAAATCATGCCCGCAGGTTGGCACATTTGATGGGTCCAAGTTTTGGATTGGCTGATCTTGAGCCTCTTGGCTGGTATGCTTTGGTTTCCGGCCTTATTGTTTTGTATTTGTGCGGTGCGGTTTGTGCTTTGCGGCTTGCGGAGAAGCTACAAACCACTCCGGAGCCTGTATCGAGACCCCAAACCTTCAGCTGTTGCTTTGCGGGGCAGAAGCAACAAACAACACATACCTCCCCCCCCAAAAAAAACACACACACAGAAAACATACCTTCTCACACCCCCTGACCCCACAAAAAACAAAAAGAGCACACACCACACACACGCACACAACAAGCCAAACCCCCCCCTCCCCTGCCCGGGGGTTGGATCCGAGGCGCGATGATGCGCACCGCGCCCGCGGGCTCCACTGCGATCACCTGGACCTGAAACCACCTGAGATCTGTCGAGCGAGTTGGAAACCACAGGCGTCAGAGTATTTCCCAACCAAAACCCAAAAGTTGAAAAAATGACTCCATTCAACTCCATCTTTTGGCGTTTGGTTGTGAAACTTTTGGTTGCCAGAGTTTCACTCGAAGTTGCAGCTTTTGCACCATCTCCTTGATTTTCTTGAGGAGGAGGGTGACCGAGCAATTCTTTCCATGCTCAGCACGCTCTGGATTTTGAAGGCCACTTGTCCAGCATCCGAGTCAGTCACTCCAGGGCTTCCCTTGGACTCATTTCCCTTCAGCTTACGTGGCCACATATTTCCCGCAAAACACGCACAAAGCAAAACTCAAGCCCAACATGCGCAACATGCCCAACCTTCTATCCACCCAGCAAGCCGTCCTCACCGAGCAAGGCTTCCCGACCAGCATACCGTTTGCGCATGGCCCGATCCCTGCTAGCAGCTTGCAGTGCCCAAGTCCAAGTTGCCTCTTGGAGCATCAAGACATAAATACTGCCATTTTGTAGGTGACGGCTGTTTGTAGGTTGAGGATCTCGGTGAAATGATGGAAATCCAAGCGCTGGACAAAACCAGCGTACAAGAAGCAAACGGAACCGTGAGGCCGGTTCACCTAACTCCTTTGGTTCTAAGGTGGCTAACATATTAAACCCGATAGAACCACCTACTGAAATGGCCCTTGGGCAATTTTGGGCGCTGCTAATTTAGGCTTACCTCAAAACCACAACCCCCCCCCCCGGGAATCTGTCGCCATGGAGTTTCACCCTGGTGTAGGTCTGGGACTCGGGGTCTGCAATGTTCAGTACTAAAACCTGAAAGCTTCAAATAGGCTTGGATGCGCCTTTTGTGGACTTCCCCTGTTCTTCCCCCAACCCCCCCAGTGGATGTCATCTTGCAGTACTCTCCTAATATCCTACAAGGATGGATCCACAGAAGCCATATCCAAAGCGCTTTCTAGATGAAATAAAGGTTCCCCAAGATACTGGGTCAGATTTCTAGATGAAATTCGGTTACCCTGCCGGGCATGAAACACTTTGGCTGCGTCTGTGTGTGTGTGTGTGTATGATTATTTTTTCCGGTCAAAGCTCCCTGTGTAGGCTATGGTTCCCGACATGCCCCCCGCTAGAAAAAAAAAAACGCAGCTTTTGTTCGGGGTTGATCATTTTGACCTGTGGCCAGAAACAGCGCCAAACTTCTTGGGGCCCGTTACTACAAGGAAGGAGAAACCTACAAGCAGTAAGCTCACAACCAAAAGGGGCCAGGCAGGATGCTCAAGAACTAGGCGTTCCATGAGGCACCATCAGCTTCTGGGCATGATGGAAATTCCAGAGTCCCGTGATTTGTGTAGGGAAATTCAGTGAGTCCCTCCCACCAACACCAGTAGACTCATGTGCAGGGGCTGCCGAATTCTAATGATTGCCCCATGATTCCCACGGTGACTCTTCATTTCACTTGATGGTACCACAAACTCGTCTGGCAAACATCGACCAAACCTAGGGCATCCAAAGCCGCTGTCCATCCACCTCGATCGGCACAGCCGTGTCCTGACAAAATGGGGGACCCGTTTTCCAAAAAAAAACAAGGGCACCCGCAAAAAGGACGCAACACGTTCAAAAAAATCTAGAAAAGGTAGTTGCCCATCTAGCAATTGTGCTGGGGCTCCTGTGTTTTGGGGCAGGTTCGAACAACAGGGTGGCATTGATACAAGGGCCTAAATTATTCGAACGGTTTCCTCTCACCCCAATAGTCAAAATTAGAGTGGTAAACCATCAGGAGTCATTCAGCCTCATATATTATTGAGAAAGAAATGAAGTCGGGTGAGGCTCATTAGACGATCAACCCTAAACCAACTATAAATCAAAACCGAAAAAAAAACAAATATGTCGAGCACCTTAAGGAGGGGGGAAGCTATGTGGCTGTGGGTCAAAAATATGTACCCACAATGGAACCCTGGTAAATGGAAGCCATGACTAAAACCTGCGTTTAAGCTTGACCCACACCCATGTGTTTGAGACCCCCTCCTCGGTCAACGTGCTGAAGCGCCCCAGGGACTCCGTAAGCAGCTCCTTGACCTCCCGCTTGGAGTCCCGCACCGCGTGGTAGAAGCCCACCGAGTGGGGCTGCACACGCACCTATCTAGCGAAACAAAAATAGGCTCTGAGGGGCCATGGCAGGGGGTGGGTGGGTGGGGGACTGGTTTGGATAGACCCTGAAACGTTTGTTGTTTTTTCCTTTTTTTTTCTCTTCTCGAGACCAAAGGCAAGGTTGTCTTAAAGTGTCAAAAAATGAGTTGGGGCCGGAAAACTGGGCCCCCTTAAGAAGGCAGATCAAGGCACACAAATCGTAGTTCAGGGGACCCCAAACAGTGTGGAGCTTGGAAATTGTCAGATTTTTCTGTGCGGTACATAAGAGCTACCTACAACTTTTCGAAAATCCTGGCTCCCACCTAGAGCGCTGACCTGACGTAACTGCCCTGAACAAGCCGAAACTTCTCCGGCGTGCGCCACATTCCCTTTCTGCTTCATCGACTGGCCAAAACAAAACACTTCTCGACTCCCAACAAAAGGAAAACAGGAAGCAACGTCTAGAATCCTTGGCCTTTTGCCAAGCTGATGAAGAAACCTACCACCATGAGTCCAACAACGATGACAGGGAATCCTCCTGAAAAGACTGTAGTCTCCCAACACTTTCCGGTCTCCATGATTGCGGGAGGCCTGGTTAACGAAAACTCAAAGTTTAGATACACACAAGCAACTTGTGGGTTCTTACTTGGCTTAAGAAAGCTGCCAACTAATGTTGACCCAAAAGGAAGCCCCAAAAGTGAAACAACTAGATTTGATCAATCCTGAGTCGACTGCGCTCATTCGGGTGGCTCAAAACTGAAGTCTGCGAACTGTTCCTGGTCAAGATTGTGCGATGTTGACCATGCCACGAATGAGTCATAACAGCCAACACCTGGTGTTAACCCGAAACCATGTAATCTCAAAGGGCGGTTGCACGTCCGCTTGCTGCGCGTGTATGCGGGAGAGGACGGGGAGGCAATTACCAATTAAAACCCTGGCTGACTTATCCTGGGCGTAGGCTCCTCGCGCTATACTCAGTTGCCAAGCGGATCCACTACTAAAAGGATCCAAAGCTGCTAGAACTATGACCAAAAAGTGACCAACAGGGCAAGACCAGAAGGTCCAAAGGTCGATTCGCTTTGGCCAGCTGAGTATAGCCACGCCTGGTGACAAGGCAAGACCTGTGCGGCCAAGTGGCCGCTGTCACCAGCTGCAACTCGACCCCTCGCACTCGCACGGGCTCATGCCTTGGCAACACTCCCGATTGACATATGACTCATGGAATCCAGCTTGGCGTGTGTCAACACATGCGGCCCCCTTTTGGTGAGCGTTTTTTTCTTCAGGGAAACCCGCACAAAAACAGCACAGATGTATGGAGTGCCTGTCTTTTCTGCAACTCAACAGGACCTTGGCCAACCACCCGGCCACAGAATGAAGGTCCTAGATGTCCAGCTGGCTTCTTAGACATGGGTCCTGGATCCCCGAACCTGCTCAGTAGCTGTAAAAACACCACTACAACACCACCCCAGGTGGTAATTCTCCCCAGCCCCGGAACCCCCCAGAACACTCAACATCGCTCAACTACTCGAAGGCCGGCATTGATGAAGCCCTGGTTGATGAGCCCTTTTTAAAAGGAACCTTCACTCGTGGGGAGGGGGGGGACGCCCTCACGGAATCTCCTTTTGACAAATAAGCCGATCAAACCCTCCTGTTAGATCCCAATCTTGGCAGGGAAGTCACAACTTGGTTGCAGATTAGATCAAGTAGGTGGTGTATTGCGAGCGCCCCACAATCAGCCATGGCAGGTCGATTGAGGTGCACCGGATAATGGCTCAGGCCCTGTAGGTAGTCGTTTTGCTGGAATATATGATTCATCTCATGGGTGTAAGCCTCTTTGGGATAACCAACAAACCCGGAGATGCTTCCACAAATCCGGAACCTGCGGAAACACACACAAAGACTGGAGAAACACACAAACAAACAAACAAACAAACAAACAAACAAACAAACAAACAAACAAACAAACAAAAACAAGCGCGGGGAGGAAAATAGCAAAACTGCACACAACAAAAATACAGGGCGATTCCAAGCTGCTCGTCAATGGCGAGATCGTCCATGACCCACTTGGGCAGGAGCACGTGCATGTCCTTGCTGGGGCCATTGGCTACAACTTTGCTACCAACAGGTGGGGGCCCGGGGGGGGGGGGGGGGCCAACGAAAAAACAAAAAAAAGACACCCCTAACCCCTTTTCAGGCCCTTTCCGCACTTCCTGAGTGGATTGGCTAAAACAGGTACACACCTTGTTGTTTGCCACTAAACTGGTCTTCCCAAAAGCGTAAAGTCCAGCAACTCAGGAAGAGAGTTTTGCAGGGCCAATGGATTCTTTGGGGCAACCAACCCCCATGGCGAAAGGAACTGAAATTCCCCCCGTCCTAGAAGAAAGCCCAACGGGACACGAGTGCCGCTTCAGAATCGAAACCAAGAATTTGAGGGAGCCATGAAACCGAGCCGCTTTGGGACCTTCAAGAAGGCGGCTCAAACAACTGAGATCGGGCTCAGGGCCGCCCAGAAAGGCAGAAAGGAACCCAGGAACCCCAAGAACCCCTAAAAATGATTCCAAGAACCTGTGGATACCTGTGGTTTCCTCCCTTCAAAAAGGGGAAAAAAAAAGGAGAACAAAAAACGGATGCTGGGCAGCCGGGTCTCGGGGAGCCCGTCCACGAACTCGAAAATGGCGCCTGGGAATCCGAGCGAGCCGGCGTTCTGAAACATTCGCGGAATCAGAGGCCCCGCTTGGTAGCAAACCAGGCGAATTTCGGAAAACCCCTAGGGGGATCAGGACCTGCGCGGGGAGTCCTAGGGCGACCTTTTTTTTAGTTACCTGCTAATATTGTGTGGACTGGTGGGAAGGGATGGAAGCCTTCCTGGAGCCATATGAATATAGGCTGTGTTTGACCTTAAGTTGGGTCTTTTCTATTGGTCACTCGCACCTCTATAAACCAGAGCAATGCTACCATCCCACCGCCCAAATACCAATGTGGGAGGTTATGATTCGATCCCCCTTAATGATAAGTTGTTTTTGTCCTTTTTTTCTCAGGGGTCAACGTCAATGATGTGGACCCGAGATGACCCACCTTGACCAAGGATTAACGTCGACCCATGGTTGACTAATAGGGATCAGTCCCACTATCTCTGGACCATCTCAACCTGTTGGGTGCATTCCGGGGTCGACATTGTACATGTACCCTCCCGCCAATTAACATGGAACCTGACGGGGGGCCTTCAAACCAAAATGGTCTTCCAGGACCCTCCTGTCAAGTTCCATGATAATTGGTGGGAGGGCCTATTCGGCTGTCTCAGAATAGGGGAACCCCTAAAACCCATGGGTCTCCTTTCTGGATTCCCGTGCCAACCAGGCAGCCAAAGGCAGCCGGGACACACCTGTCCTCACATGGGGCCTGGTCTCCACATTTGGTTAGACCGTTGAACCCATTCCGACCAACGGAGACGGACGGTCGGCCAAACTCACCGGCCAAAAGTTCAAACAGGGACGCATTCAGTTTCTCAAAAGGGCTCAAAGGTTAAAGGTCCAAGCTGGCACCTCGGATCGCACGGCATTGGGTGCTGGCTCTTTCCCCCCAAAAGGAGAGAGCCCGACAGCGGTTTCGTGTCAGCCACTTCCAGAAATGACATCCTCTGTGGCCCGTACAATTTTCCTTGAATACATCCAACCAGGTGAATTTACCCCTCCCCCCCTCTGTTTGTTAAAGAATCGGACCTGCTTGGGCTCCATTTCCTTTTTTGCAGGCTTCCGCATGTCCCACAAAAACACTGGGAAACTTAAGCTGGGGGGGTACGGAAGCCCAGTTTCGTTGCTTCCCCCCGTCGCCTTTCTCCTTAAATCTGTTGGCTTTCGTTTTGGGCCCAGGCCAGGCTCCGACCCAACTTAAAGCCCGACGAGTGTACACCAAAAGCAAGATACTTAGATTCTGCTTGTTCAAACATGGGGCAATTAACCCCAAAACTGGATGGACACAGGAGCAGGTTTCCCGGTGGTTTAATTTGACCCATACCCATATATGTCGCCCATCCCCAAATTTCAGTCATGTTTGAAACAGAGTGGGCCTACTACGCGTGGTGGCCGTTGTTGTCCAGGTATTCAAATGGGGCGCTAGCCGGACACTGGCCCCATGAGTTCACCATGATCAAAGTCACCCCCTTTCAGTGGGAATTAATTAGGTTGAAGGGAAACAACCCCGCATCTTCTGACTTCGATCACCATCAGAAACAGCCACTTTATGGACCCCGAAGCCAAAACCCACCAGATCCAGCTGAAAAAAATCCGTGAGTATCGAATTCCTTCCCGTCCTCCCCCCAATTCAGCGACCCATCCGAAGGGCAGTGGGTCTTCCGCCCCAAGAGCGTTTTGACCTCGAAGACCATCCTCAAAGACATGGGACAAGGGGAGGGTCGAGCATTTGCTGGTTTCAGGTGCATATAGCTGGGTGATGCATGGGTGGAGAAAACTATCTAATCCCAATGGGGGAGGTTTTTCTCTCTCTCTCTCTCTCTCAGAATTTGCTGCTTTCAGTACATATGTCAAGCTGGGTGACACATGGATCGAGACAAATCTCCGTCACCTTGTCATTGCGTCGTTTCTTGAAAGGGACGCCTCCATTTGCTTAAGTCCCCTAAAGTATTTCGGTCATTTTAAAGGACCGATTGCATTCCCACTTTGATCGCCGCGCAGCTTTTATGGCTCAGTGCCCTACCGTAAGTCCTCGCCCTAGGGCCTACCTACATGTCGAGCGATCCCTTGATCCAGCCAACAAAGATGCATACATGCGTGGCACCGGACATGGCAGTTTCCACATCCATCAAAATATCTTTTAAGTGCCACGCTCACCTACTCAGTGCTTTCAGCACTCATGCACGCCCGGGGCTATACACATCTCTGGCATAGCCGGCCTTGGCCTTCGACTTTGGCTTTGCAGCCACTTCGCACTCATCGACCCACTCACCGCTCTCATCGTCGGTGGCCAGATTGAACTTCTCCGTGAGGTCCGCCATCGCCACAACCTGGCCCGCGTCCGCATCGAACTCCTCCATGAGATACTTCAAAAGCTTATCCCTCCATCCAGGGAAATTGTGCAACTTCAGCCCCGCCACATTCGTGAGGTCGGCCACTGCCGCCCGAAACTCTTCCGAGTTGGGAACAGCGGGTCTAGCGCTTGAAGCGCCCAGGGTCTCCTTCTCCTTGACCTGCGCCTGCGCGTCCAGGTACGCCGAAACAGCGCCACCCTCCGCCATGACCGCGCGGACCGCGGTGCTCCACCATCGCATCCCATCAGGAAGCGGTTCCACTTCCTCGTTGCTGAGCATCTTCTTGTAGACACCGAGCACCATCTCCAGGATCTTGGTCACCTGGTCTATGTACGCCGCTCCGGTCTGAATCTGAATGGCCGCGGTGTTCTTCGTGAATGTGAACGTCACCTCGCTGGACAGCCCCTTATAGGTCTTCTCTTGCACCCGCCCGAGTGCCATCTTCATCCTGCATTGCGATGCACTTTGCGTCAGCATCCGCCGGAACTCACCCTCGTTGCCCGCAATGGCCTCCGCGAGCTTCTCAAAGAAGGCCCTGATCTCCACCTCGGCGAAGCCGTGGGTCGTCACCTTCACCATGTCGGGCCCGCCTATCGCGGTCACTGCGAGAACTGCCTGGGGGGGCCGAGCCAAGTATGCCTTCCGGGCCGCTTGCTTTTGACCCTCTGTTCTAGCTTGACGCTTAGCTCGCTCTGCTGCTGCTGCTTCCATCATGCTGCTTTCCTTGCTGAGCTGATACCGCCCACTTCTCATAGCCGCTCTCAACAGATCCATGGCCTCAGGGTTTTCCTTAGTCAAAGCATCTGCCAGTTGCAACCACGTGGGGGCCCATCTGACGCGTCCTCCTATCCGTCTGATGGATTCACGTATGATAACCAAGTCGATCGCCACCCGTTTGTCCCCAACTGAATTCGGTGATGAAAAAGTCTGAAGGTGGTCGTATACTGATTTACAGTCAACCACCGCCTGGATACTGAATCTGTGCAGTACCTCATGCCTCTTCCCCAGATTGATCACCCCATCAATCATCTCAACCAAATGACATGCTAACCATTCTGCATGTCCCAAACCGTCCGCCAACACTTGCGTCTCCCCAGCAAACGTTGACCCAACCACACGCTTCAGCCTGTAGGATTTCCATGCCGCCGGAGTCCACGGTGCTGTCCGCCCGTCTTCGAGCGCGTCAGTTGTGATACCAACCAAATATCCTGCTTGTGTTCCTCCCTTCTTGGCATTTGCAAATGCAGCATCTGTGTGTAAACAAATTCTCAACTTGCTGATCGGCACTGCCTGAATCACCCACTGCAAATCTGCATGCTGTTTTGCTCGTTTCACAGTGTGAGCAACAGTCCGTGCCTGTTCCAAAGTTGGTGTCGGAAACATTTGTTGTCCCATGCTCACTTGCACTGCCAAGTCCGGGCGGGTCTCTTTGGCGACCCACAACGCTGCACCTAAGACGGAACGTAGCGATTTGATCTCTGCGGCATTCGCTTGCACTGTACCCGGATCCTTGCTGCGCAGCTGCGGCTTCTTCATTTCTGCAATGAACTCAGCTTGACTGACAGTGATGTCTTTGGTTTTGGGGTCCTGCTTCAGGGATGATCCGCAAAAGGTACCCTCATCGTACTTCCATTTTCGAAACGGGAAGGTTTCTCTCAAAAGCCGAATTGCTTCTTCATAGGACTTGCCCTTTCCCCCTGTGAGCACATCATCCACATGTACCCCCAACACACCTCCGATACCATGCGGTTGCAAATGGTCACGCCAATAGAAAACACAAGGATCCAATACTGACTGCCGCCAGTTCTGCTTCCGAAGCGTCTGCACGAATTTGCAAAACCAGAGCTGTGGCGAGTCGTTGAACCCATATAACGGCTTGACGACTTCGAACAGTACTTCTGGATGAACGCCCGTAAACTCGGCATTTCTCGGCTGCTTCAGATACAAGGGTCCCCGTTTTCGTTCAATCTGGTCACCCTCCAGGAAAGCACCCGTCACGTCTCCCAGCTGTAGCTGAAACTGGCAGCTCGCAATACACTGCAATACTGCGAAACGTCCGTTGGAAGAAATGGTTGGAGACTGTGTTTTTCCTTCACGAACCAGCTCAAACAAGTCAGGGTCCTTGTCTCCTCTAGCCGTCCACCGGCCCTTGACTATGGTCTCTCCAGTCTCCTCGACCTTCTCCGTGAGGACGTATCGAGACTCCACCAGTCTCTCCGGAGATTCCCGCATCACCCGCCGCGATTCTTCGAGGCTAAGAGGCCGGAGTGCTTGCTTCTCATGCACGACATTGGAATACTCCTTCATTACCCCAGCTTGCATTTTCTTCTTCCCTTCCGCCTCTTGCCACTGCGGATCTCGCGGGTTCAGCTCCTTGCGGCCTCCGGCCAGCAAGCACTCAGCGGTGAATTCATCCCCGTCATCTAACCCGCATGCCAATATCCAAGAGGTGTCCTCATCTTCATCATCTGGAAGCTTTTCCGACAAAACTGTCGCTTGCTTTGTACTGTCAATGCAACCAACGAACATGGGCCCTTCGGATCGGCCCTGGCCGGGAACGGGAGGATGCAAATGCGGTCTCGAACTAGCCGGGGCAGGTAGGGAGGGTGGATAGATCTGACCAGCGACCTGTTGACCCTCAAATCTAGGTTGTTTGAGTTGTCGTTCCCCAGTGTCCTTATCTCTCCGCCCAACAGGGATACCATCCAAAATGTCTGCTTGATCGATTGACGCCGGCAAGTTGGTCAGATCTTGTCCCGACAAAGCACTCACCCGGTTCTCCCAAGACTGAACGCTCCGGCTGTCCGAGGATATCCATTCGGAGTCCCTTCCTATCGTCTGGTTGTCTGACGGAACTTCGGCTCCGGAAAGCTGAGAGCCCTCACTTTCCGGAACCGGAGGGAGCTCGCCTGCCGCCTCTGCCGCGCCGTCACGGCAATCTGGCAGTTGCTGCGCTTCGATCACCGGAGGAGCGGATCCTGGAGGATAATCAGCCCCTGTAATGTCCAAGAAATTCTTCTGGTGTGGATTAGTGCCTCCAACCTCTGGGTAAAGATTGGCCGCTGCAAGCCTCAAATCCCGAACCAAAAATCTGTCGGCTTCTCTTTCCTCCAGGGTCCGCAGACGCAACTGTTCTGGCGAGCACTTGATGAAAGATCCAGGCATAGCGACCCAAAAATTGCCGCCTGCTTCTCCTGCTATGATGCCCGGCCCTCGCCAGCGCGCGTATCCGCGTTTTCCGGGAATGCCCCGACCTCTTCTCCAAACCGCCACCTGGTCGCCATGCCTGAATTCTCGTTGCGGGCGCGGCCGGCTGTTCAGAGCCACCCGAGCCGCCTTGCAATCCGCGGCCTCGAGCACTGCTTTGCGCGCAAACTGTCGCACCAGATGGGCTCGGGCGGCCTCCGCATCTTCCAGAATTGCTCCATTTGCTATGGGGTTTGGGTCCGGTGTCAGAATGTCATCCCCTGGGATTTCCGGGTCACGCCCCAGGACCATCTGGTACGGGCTGTGCCCAGCCTTCCGCAGCAACATGTTCTTGGCTTCAACTGTGCAATCGACACATTCCACCCACTCGTCATAATTGCTGGGGTTTGCTTGGTCCAGAACTTTGATCAACATGTCCTCAAAATGCTTCCCCTGAACTTCTACGTCCCCAATCTGCTCATGCGCCTCCCCCGGAATATCCAATGGAGTTGTCCCATCCCGTTCCAAGGCGTCTATGAAGTGCTGCCCAAGATTGCATCTGGATGCGTCGAATTTCACCCACCGCGGTCTGCCATATGGCCGCGTCCACGACTGCCGATACAATCTCCGTATCAGGTCGGACGACTCTGTCTCTCGGAACGGGGTCATCTGCTGCAGTCCACTTGTGCGGCACACAACATTCAAGGCTTTGATCTTTTCCCCCTTGCGCCAGCTGGGAAGGTGCTTCACGTCCAAACCAACATATCGCAAAGGTGCCACATCTTTGGGGACTGCTGATGCACGAACAATCTTGGGTTCCTTTCTGGCCGCACATGTGGGACAGTCAAACGCTCGGACCATGTCTAACACTCCCTCAGAGGCCCCACGATGCTGCAGGATCCTGATCATGTCCGGAATGCTTGCATGCCCCAGATTGACATGCATTTTCTTGAGGGCATTCTCCACCTTCCGTCGACCCTCCCCTTTCAGTTCCTCTGTCGTCAACACATTTGAACATGCGTCTGACCAGTGGTCCTGCGCCACTGCTCCAGCCAGAATTCGTCTCACCAGCGTCGGTGGGTAGACCTGTGATTGGATGGATCGTGCGACCCCTCCCGAACTGTTTTTAACTAGCTGATGTTCGTGATCCCCGCTGCAAACCAACTTCCCCAATTGCAGCGCGATTGATTCGGACGAAGTGATAAACCTCCACGACTTCCCAAAAGGTTTGCCAGAGTCCTTGTCCCTCAAACCAACTGCACATGCCGGGACGTCAATCACAAAATGTTTATTGCCCAACCGTTGCACTTCTGGTAACTTCCAGGCACCCGATCCCCGTGCTGACTCGAAAAGGAAATGTTTCCCCACGTTGACCTGGCCTTCCGCCAAACTGCAACACCACCGAATCATGCTCTTGGCTTCCTCAACCTCTGCTGAAAATCGAGCCGGGTCGCGTCTCCGGGCACTGGGTGTTAAGTTCTGCAGCACCGACAACGCCCCACATGGCGGACTCATCGCCACCAGGTCCGGCTCAGTCTCCAGGATGGACTGCTGGGCTTCGCGCCTCGCCAACGGAACTCTCCAGTCCCATCCATTGCTCAGGTCGTAGATGCCCTTGCTCTCGAAGCCCACTCTTGCACACTCGTCCGCGAACCGCCCCGGCACGAATACCTCCGCCACGGACATCGGCTCGTTGGATGCTGCCATCACTTCCACCAGGTTGGCCTGCAACTTCTTCCGCTGGTTGCGGCTCATGACGCACCACTGGCCTGCCTCCTCATCCGAGGAGTCAGCCCCTGGCTCCTTACTCGCCACCGCCAGGACATCCGTTGTGGGGATCCCGTCCATCAGGTTCAGCTGGTAGGACCCGTCCGGCGGCTCGTGCATCTCCACCTCCAGACCATTCAACACGAGCGTGTTCTTCTCCAAGTCCAATTTTGCACCCAGTCCTTTGAGGAACTTCTTGCTGATGAGCAATGGGACCTTTCCCGGCACCACGTAGACCTTCATGCCGATGAGCTTGCCCCGGAGATAGCACGGAATCTGCACCCGACGAATGGCCTCGTCAGTCGACCCATTCCCATACCGAAACCGCTGCGGCTTCATCTTCAACTCCGTGATCTGCAGGCCGGCCTTGTTGAGGGCGATCTCATGCTTTCGCAACGTCATCTCGCCCACGATGCCTCGCCCACATCCCGTGTCTAGCACTCCGAAGCCGGCAGGATGTGTGAGCAGGCATTCACTCACCTCCTCCCCACCGTCCATGCCCTCCTCATCGTCAGAGAACGTCTCCGCCAGGTTCACCGCCTGGTCCACATTGTCCAGCACATCCGTGGTGTCCTGCTCCCCCACGATCTCCACCTGCTCGGCCTTCGCATTCTCAAGGCCCTCCTGCAGCTGGTCGATCGTTTCGGTCAGGTTCTCCCCGTCCTTGTCCTCGGTCACGCGCCGTCTCCTCCTTGTCCCGGAACTCCTTGGTCTCGCCGATCGTGATCGGTCGCTTTCCAGGTCCGCTTGACCGACGTCTCTTCCACGTTCACCTCCGCCGGGGCCGCCCTTGATCCAGAAGATCGATCGCCCCGTCCAGAGTTGTCCCGCATGAAGATTAGCTTCTTGAGGTTGTCGCCATTGGTTCACGTACTCAAAGCTCCCGACCCCCTCGACGTCCATGATCGTCATTCGCTCGGGCTCCAGTTCGCTCCTGGGCACCGGGCATCCACCTCGCGGTTGATATAGTGCGTGACGTGGGACCTCGTGGATCCGGATGACCTGGTTGCCCTCCTGCACCCACGAGTCCTGCTTCTGGAGGAGCTCCTCGTCGTAGAACTCCATCTCATCCACAGTGTCGCCCTCCACCGGTTGCTCCGGCTCCTGGGAGACGCTGCTGCCCTGCTCTTCCTCTTCAACTGACGAGTGGGACGTGTAGGGCTCGTCCCGCTTCCACGGTGGAACTCGATGCTTTCCGCCGTCTCGCCAGATAGATCTCCTCTCCGGCACGTCCTTTCCATGAGGCCATGCCATGAACACGTAGTTCACGTTGCTGCCAGTGGCCTTCCCGGCCCGCTCGGCGACCTGCTTCTTCGGGCAGTTCCTGCTGAAGTGGCCGATCTGCTTACAGCGAAAGCATCTCACTCTCGCCTCCAACTTCTTCACATCCGGCTTCGGCCCCGGTGGGAGGCCTCGCGAGATGCGCTCCTTGTTGATGGTGGCCCGGGTCTGCTTCCAGGAGAGCAGCACCTCAATGGCGTCCTGCTCTTCCACCGCTTCCTCGCCATCGAAGGGGTCGAACTCCTCCGCGGCGAGCACCGCCTGGGTCATCCCGTCGTCACCCTCCTCCACCGTTTCCATCTCCACCGCGTGCACCCCTCTCGGGGCTCCTGATCCAAGCCCCTCCGGATACGTCGTCCTCAGGGCCGCCGCCACATCCCGTTCTTCATAGCTTTGCCTGGCTGCTGCCAGAATGACTGCCCGTCTCTCCGCACTGACCTTGGCGAACCTCAGCAGCATGTAGCCACGCGCCACCGACGGGAAGGAGATCCCCTCTGCCTCCGCCGCCGCAAACGCAGCTCTCACCTTGCCAGTGAAGTTCCCGGTCGTCTCTCCTCTGTCCACCTTCAGGTCGAAGATGGTGTCCATGACCTCACCGATGCGGTCGTGCGCCTCCTCTTCGGGGTACCTCTGATCCAATATCTCGTAGATCACCTCTTCTCCCCCATGTTCTTCCAGCCTTGCCATGTCCACCTGGTCAAAGGCCCGGAGCGCAGTTCCATCCAGCAAAGTGTACAGCACGGACCCAAACGCCTCGGCGGGGGTCCCCTTTGCCTTCTGCACCGTGAGGTAGGCCCGGCTCCAGCGTCGCCACCGACGGTATGCCTTGCTGCTCCCGTCGTCGCCATCTCCGCTGAATCTCTTGATGGCGGAGCTGAAGTCCTTGCCTTTGTCCATCTCGATCGCGATCTCCCTGATCGTGTCGAAGCTCTCGCTACCAATTTGATCGCCGCGCAGCTTTTATGGCTCAGTGCCCTACCGTAAGTCCTCGCCCTAGGGCCTACCTACATGTCGAGCGATCCCTTGATCCAGCCAACAAAGATGCATACATGCGTGGCACCGGACATGGCAGTTTCCACACCCACCAAATAGGGGAACCCCCCCCATTATGGCTTCCCCTGTCAAACCAGCTCCCGAAGCAAAAGAGCACAACAGGCCAATGGACTTCCAGTGACAACAGTTGCAACTTGATGGTGGCTTCCAGTCAAGCCGCCACTTTCGGGGGTTCCAAGCAAAATAGACTTGGTTGCGCAAAAAGTTGAACTTTGGTGGGTCCAATGGAAAATCCACTTGATCCACTTCCCCAAAAGCTAAAGTCCAAAAATCCGATACCAAGTAGCCACAAAGCAGAGGAAGCAATGGACGAAACCACATTCAACAGCGCAAATGGGCGTGTCCTTTCTTGGGCAACCCCTTGTTGTTTGGGTTGAAAGGGAGACCAGAAGACAAACCAAAGGAAAACCGCTTTCGGAACACCGAAAGGAAGACCAAATTGAAAAGGGAAACCAAAAGGAAAGCAAAAAGGAAACGCGTCTTCGGAAAACCGTTTTTGAGAAGCCATAAGGAAAACAAAAAAGAAAACCGTTTTCGGAAAACCATAAGAAAAACAAAAAGGAAAACCGTTTTCGGAAAACCACCAGGAAAACCAAAAGGACAACCAAAAGGAAACTAAAAGGAACACCCTGCTTTAAACAAAAGCCAAGGACCTCAAAACGGGAAGCCGTGCGTCGGCAGCGTCAGCTCCGCCCCGAGCTCCGCCCGCTGGTAGATGGCGTTGGCGTAGCTGAAGGGCAAGCCGATCTTGTCGGTGGCCTCCAGCCTCCACGTTGGCCGGACATCCGGGGCTTAGGGCACACCCCTTGAGGACTGCGATGCGCCCCTTGAAACGGGTGGGGTGGGGTGGGGTGGGGTTGGGGTTGGGGTTGGGGTTGGATGGGATGGGGTGGGGTGGGGTGGGAAGCCAAAGCTAGGTCCTCCAGTAGAGAGGTTAGAATAAGGGTACCAACTGTTTCTGTAGGGGAACCCTCCCCAAAAAAAGAAACGTTAAAGGGGCACTACTGAAAAACCTAGATTTCTCACTTCCTGAGATGGGCCAACAAAAGGTCCCGACTGTTTATTTGCCACTAAAATGGTTCAGACTCAAAAAGTGCCTAAAGTCCATGAACTCGGGGAGTGAGAAATTGGGGGACCCCCCTCCAAAATGGCTGGCTTTCCTTTCTTGAAATACCATCAAACAAAGGACGACACATTTTGCAGGTTGGCGCGTCTATGTTTGAGGGTGCCCTTCTTGTGGTAAGGGACAGCCACAAGTGCTTTTTGGTACCCACTTTTTGTGGCTTTAGTGGAAGAACAAAAGGACACCGACGCCATTTTGGGGGCCCCTGAAAAGACACACCCATGGGTTTTGAAGGTACTGATGCTTATGCGGCCGATATCAGCTGGTATCCTCAAAACTGTAGTTGTCCGCCTTACCTGAAAACTGTCCTTGGCAAAATCAGCGCCGGGCAGGGGGCGTCCGGTACCCAATAATAAACCTGGGCTGTCCGTTTTCAGATCCCCTGCCAAAAGTGTTTAACTTTTAGTGAAAATGGAAATCCAACCACTAGACGCTGAAAAACTAGATGGCTAAGGAACCGGATGGCTGGGAGCCACCAAGAAACAGTCACCCTTCTAGAAAAAGGGACCCCTTGGAGTTGACCAGCGGTAGGTAGGGAGAGGGCTCCAGCGGCCGCAACGAAAAAGACCCTTGAGCGGCGGCGCCCTTGGGCCACGGGAATTGCCCTTCAGTTGGCCCTGGTTGGGATGAACCCCATCAAAACCAGTGCCATCTATTTCTAACCAGATACACCTAACAACCTAGAGGGGTAGATGTAGTACTTTGGTTGTTTGCTCTCTTGTTTTCTTTGGTTCCTTCATATTTCTTGGTTGAACCCTCTTGGGAGCTTTGGTACCCTCTTTCATAGAAACCAGCTACAGGAAATTCTACAGGAAGTTAGCCAAATACCCACCAAAATCAGGGGTTTCGTGTAGAACTTCCTGCAGTTGGTTTCTTAGAGTCTTGACTCTTGGAGGCCAAGTTTGGATACGCTCCTAAGACAAGAGAAGGGGAAAGCAGGGGAGGGAGACGATCAGGCCTTGGGCCCCTGCCTGGAGAGGTCGCCCAAGAAGGCGGCAGCCTCCTGGGGCGAGATGGCGGTCATGCCATCCTTGCCTGGGCTGCAGGGCCGGACACTTCCACTTGCTTAACCCCCCCGCAAAAAAAAGAAGTCCAGTAGTGATAGATTCGCTTTCAATCCCACATGGGAAAAATATATTATGAAGCAAATGGAAGAACATCCTTCTGAAAAGGGGGCCCCCTTTTTTCGTTCGAGCCCCCGGAAGAGGCTGGCTGATGGGCCCCAAAACAAGTCGATCAAGATGGCCCCGTTTGGGACTCAAGGCTCCACCTCTTGGACCCCAAAAAAAGGAAGGAACTGTTCTTGGTTGCTGGAACGACCCCCTGAAAAAAGTGAACAACTTTTTGGGGGCTCAGAAGAAAACCCCTGGATTTCCCACACAGTTAAAGTCTAAAGATCCAACCCAATAGCAGTTAAGTGTTTTCCCCAGGTTCCCAACAGCAATCAACATGGTAGAGGCCTCCAATGCCGCACAAACGGACTTCTAGGTCCTCCGAAGCCAAACTCAACTTTGCCGGCGAGTTCCCCATGATTGTGCATCTGCGTGCTTGCTATGACCATTGCCATCACCATCACCATCACCATCATCATATGATAAGGGGCAAGCAAGGGCAAGCTCTGTGTCGAGTATCCCTCAACAAGCACGCGTAGGCAAATGGGCTTCATTCATCCGGAGTTTCTATGAGTTGCTGGTGCCTTTTACTGTCTTTTGCAAGGGGTTGGTTACAAAAGGGTCCGACAAAAAGGCATCCCCTCTTTGAACAGCCTTGTAGTGAATCAGAATCAAATCACGCATTCCTTGCGTGGAATCGAAGGCCTTAAAAAGTGGTCTGGCCCTAGAAAACTTGCTGGTGCTCGGTAGGGAATGACCTTCCTGGTGTTGGGAATGAACTTAGGGAGTTCCTTAAAGGAAACATTGTTTATGTGGGTTATTCCAACTCATTCCATGCCTATCGAACCAGCAAGAAAAAGGGGTCTGCGAGAAAAGCATGGGAGTCGGCAGCTGAATCCCATCCGAGCCAAGCTCGCTGAATCCCATGAGCGGTGGGTGCGGAGCTGTCCCCTCTTCACATGAAGGTTTGTCAAAAGTGGGGCATGGGCAGCTCCATGACGATGTTTCGCAGCTAGCGCATTGCAGAAGCCTCCCAACCTCCCCCTCCCTACCTCCCCCTCCCGCACGCCCCCCACCCTAGTTTATTCCGAATGGAGCCCAAATGAAAGCCTTGCTTGGAGGGAGGAAGCCAGGGAGGAGGGAGGGGGAGCCCGAGCAAGGCGTGGGCTTCAGAGCAAGGCCTCTCACTAGAAAAAGTCTGGGCTCATGGCTTCCCTTCAGCATCACCCGCGGCAACTCATCCGAAAGTTGCCCTTTTCGGCGATGTTCAGCCGTTCAACTAAACCAAAAATGTGGAAAACTTGGGTTCTCAGATTCATGTCCCTTTCAAGCCATCCAAGAAAAGAAGAAAAGGGGGTACCAAGCCACATGACCCATATAGGGAACCCCTCAGCTGAGCTGCAGAAGCCGTTCACCGTATGGAAGAGCTCGGTGTTCAGGCCTAACGAAGCCGTTGTCAAGCAAAGGTTTCACCATACCCCTAGGAAAGCCCGTTCAAACTCATGTTTGAAGGCAATTTTGAGAATGTCCCTTTGCTGGACACACTTGGGGGAACGTGTTTTTCTTGTTCTTTGCTTCCTTTCTTTTTGTGTGGGGGGGTCCTCCTGCAATTTCCCCGGCAGACCTAGAAGCAGGGTTACATGGCACACCCGCTTTGTTGGAGGGGAGCAGGGTTGCTCCAAAAAGGGTAGAAAATTGGGGTCTGCAACAGGCTGTCCTTAGAAAGTACTTGGACATCCTGGGAGTGCCCTTCATCATCTTTAGGTGTGCTTTGACCATGTTCCTCGACGCATGTCCAGATATCAGCCCTAAAGCTCGCAACAAGCCACCGTGAACGGAAGTAAGTCTTCCAATTCGTTGAGCAGTGCCCCAACCATACCAGAACCTCAATCTCCACTTGGTGCCTGCTCTTATGATGCCGGATATAAAAACCTGGCGAATGCATGGAGGGATGCATCCAACCCCCCCCCCCTAACCATAGTGTCAAGGAGTTCGTGCAAACATTGAGGCACAACCGAATCGAATCTGGGCTCTCATTGGGGCGCTTGTCTTCCCTTGCATCAGCCGGGCCTATGTGGGTTCGAACCCTGTGGTGGACACCATTTAGGTGCTGATCTATGTCCACCAACCACTTTGGAGGTGGTTCCTTAAAAAAACATCATGGCCATATATGGCCATATTCAGATAGGCTTTGTTGGGATGATGTTCCAAGGCTTAGCCAACGCCATAGGAGCCGTTGCAACCTTGTGAAAGGGCCTGCCGTCGCCCCCAAGGCCCCCCCCCCCCTGTCCAGTTGCATGAGGGAGGGTCAAGTTTGTGGAACCTTGACCAAAAATAGACCAAAAGTGGAAACGCAAAAGGTCAAAAGGCTGGCTTTAGATCCTATGGCCACCCACAAATAAACACCAGGACCAGATGTTTAAATAGGTCAACTGCCTTATACTACCTCCACAGCCGGCTCGGCACAGCCAGCGCAAAACTACCTGAACCACTTGAGACAAAGTTGGACTTTCTTAAGAAACACAAGTCCCACCATCGCCAGGATTCATCTCCCTACGGTCATCCCCCAAATGCATTCTGTGCCTTCGGACCCTACAAATTTGCCAAGAGGCGCTCCAGCTGGATGGAGGCTTTGGGGTAGTCCTCGTAAGCGGGGATGGCTGGCAGAGCTGGCCCAAATTTCTTGGTGCTTTGTTGGGTTCTCTTTCTCTCTTTCTCTCTTTCTTTCTCTCTCTCTCTCTCTCTTTCTCTCTTTCTCTCTCGCTCTCTCTCTCTCTCTCCTCTCCCTCTCCCTCTCCCTCTCTCTCTCTCTCTCTCTCTCTCTCTCTCTCTCTCTCTCTCTCTGTTGTCTCTTATCTCTTGTCACTTTCTCTGCCTCTCTCTGTCTTTGTCCTTCTATGTGCGCGTGGCTGTCCGCGCGTGTGAGCGTCTACTCTGACAGCAGCTCTGTCTATCCGACATCCGCCAGGCGTTGTATACCTCGCCAGTTGCCGACTGTCCTTCTTGATGTGAACCATGGTGTTGGCCTCCATCTCAGACTCAACCAGTGACTTCTGCACTTCCTGCGCGGCATATTTAGACGTGTGAAACCCTGACTCGCTTCTCTTTTCTCTGCAGCCGTTTGAACAAATCCATCCGCTTGTCCGAAGAGTTGGCGTTTAAATTCACCGCCCGGGGTGGACACCGGATCTTCCCAGGCATGCTGTCAAGTTCAAACCACATACGCTGCAAATCGCGCCCGGGTCACGCACATGTATTGCACCAAAGGAGTCTTAAGGCCAGAAAGCGCTCCCGAGCCTGCTACATCCATTCAGGGAGCCACGCAGCTTGTTATCTGTTGGCCATGCACCAGGCTACATGTGCGGTTCAGAGCCACATTCAGGATACGCCCCCGATGCATCACCGCAGCCATTGAACCAACCGCCTGGCCTCGCACACGAGTGCAAAACAGTCTCACGCTGTGCCTGGTTTCCGTTCGCAGGTCAGGGGATGAACCTCATTTTGGATGGTGGTAGAGCTAGTTGGAACTCATCATTTCCCAAACATGCAGCTGATGTCCTTTCGGTGACACAAAGGGTTGATATAGCTCCCCTTAAAGCATCGGTCCTAGCAAAACAACCTCACCTTGAATGGGCCAAAAGGGTGATGTTTAAACCAACAAAACAAAATTTAAGGACTCCTCAAAAAAAAGCAACCCAGGGCATCTTGGTGTCTTCTTTTAGGGGGAAACCCGTTTTGGTGGGCTTTGCTAAAGCAACCGGAAAGCCAGCTTTGGTTTTCCCAACCAACTTATAAGCTCGCCCCCAGAAATAGGTTCTGTGGGTGTTACATGGGTGTTCCTATGTTGCTAGATGCTGATTCACAAGGGGAGTCATAGGAGGGTTTTCCCAATTTCGGTCTATGTCTCGCAAAGGTCCCAAAAATGCGGCCAGATCCGTCCACCTCGCCCTCGCCAACTGAGCTCTTGCCGAGCTCTGCGCATCGCTCGCGCCGAAGGAAATCCCCCCGCCTTCAGCACCGTGAGGATGGAGGTGGCCGGCTGCCAACCCGCGGAGGCCAGCAGAATGTCTCAGCCGATGCTGCGCGAAGGGAAGGCGGGGAAGGCGCAAAGCTCCCCCCGAGCTTAGAGCGAAGCTGGTGGCTTGTGTGGTTTGCCGGGGGGCGTTTTGGCTTGGTGGGTGGGTGGGTGGGTGGGTGGGTGGGTGGGTGGGTGGGTGGGTGGGTGGGTGGGTGGGTGGGTGGGTGGGTGGGTGGTTGGGTGGTTGGTTGGTTGGTTGGTTGGTTGGTTGGTTGGTTGGTTGGTTGGTTGGTTGGTTGGTTGGTTGGTTGGTTGGTTGGTTGAATGGTTGGTTGGTTGGTTGGTTGGTTGGTTGGTTGGTTGGTTGGTTGGTTGGTTGGTTGGTTGGTTGGTTGGTTGGTTGTTTGCTTTTCGGTTTAGGGACTTCGATGTGGGGCGTATCGCCAACTGGTTGTGTGACTGCTTTTGGGATTGGTACCGGTTCTGGGCTCGTTGTTAACAAACATACCCGTTTTGAGGGTTCTAAGAGGAATTGGACCCACTAAAAAAATGGTACCCACAAGACATCTTATTAGGTTCTAGGCCTTATTGGTTGCCAATCCCCGTTAGAGGTTCCAAACAGGGTTGGACCCCCCCCATTTTATCAGATAAAATAGGGTCAGTCCAACCTTGTTGGAAAATAAAATGAAATAGTCCAACACTGACAGCAAATAAAATTGAAAAATCACGATTTATTTTGACCTCATGTTGGGGGTTGGTTTGAATAGTCCGAGTTGGACAAAACGTACTTCATTTTATTTCCTATGAAAATAAAGTCGAGGGGAGTCCAACTCATGTTAATTTGAAATGAGTTCAGTCCAACTTTGAAGGGATTTTCAGAGAGGCCAAAATGATTTCGCATCAAAAAAGGGGGTGGACTAAATTAAAATACATGACTTATTTTCGGGTCCGACCCACCCCTACTTTATTTTGAGCCTGCTTCGGGGCTGTTGCCATAGACCCCTATTGAAATTGGGGGGGTGCCTTGACAAAAAGCAAGGGCACTGATGCATGGAAGCGGGGGGCCGGTTGCAACTCGGCGGATTCCCCTGGTGCGTCTCCCACCCTGCCGGTGCCAAGAGATGGGCGGGCGTGAACTGGGCACAGCCATCTCGCTCCATTCCCGCCCTAGGCCTTCCAGTAGAGAGGGTAGAATAAGTTGGTACCAACTTTTTTCTGTGGTCTACTTTAGTAGGGGAACGCTCCCCCAAAAAAATGGGTAAAAGGACACTACTGGGGCCCGTTCAATCTCTCCCTGGGTTCCACGTGGACAGGTAGAGCATTCCAGCACTAACAGAGCCCCTGAGGTCCCTGCTGCACACTCGGCCCCCAAAGGTCACCGGGCCTGCAGACAGCCAGGGGGTCTTGAAATGGGGTGAAACCTGACAAAACAGCGTTGAAGATTGCCAACTGAACAGGTAAGCCACTCAAATGCAGCAAAAGGAGGAGGGATTTTGGGCCCTGTCAATTTGTTTCATTTCATGAAGCCGCGCATCCTTGCGCTGCCTGTGGCTTCCAAAAAAGGGTCAGCAGCAAATAGTCTGTGCACGTCTGTGCGAGCTACTTGTATAGGATCCTGTTGTCAACCCACATCCGGGCTACACAGAAAGTAATGCGTTGTGTGTCATACTCTCGCTTGCTCACAGGACCCGGGAGAAAAAAAAGAAAGGTCAACCTTTTGGGGCCTTTGCTTGAAACATGGACCAACATGCAAAAACCACACGGTCAGATCCGGGCGATGGCCGGGCCAACATAGAAAATAGCCTTGGAGATCCCGGCTCCGTGCCATCCAATTGCTGAAAAGCAGCCGCATCTTGGCCAGCCGATTTTGTTTTTCCCAATGTGGAGCCTGACTGGAGGGGGCTGGCAGAATTTTCTAGTGGGAGCCTCGCTGGGTTTAATGATTGCTTATGCTTGCGCAGGGGCTTGGATATGTAACCTGAAGCTGGTGCTGTTTGTGGACAAAATCCTGCGCCACCCAGCAAACCCTGAAAGGATTCGATTCCCCTGTACATGCCAACGAACAAAGGTTTCTCATGATTTCCAAGTGGTGCGAAATGAATTTCGTCCATCCCAAGTAGCTCTAGGGATGCCTGGAAGAAGCTGACCCCGGTCGGTCTCGGCAGAAAACGAATTGATACCCTCGGGGTTTGACCGCTGGCTTCGGAAACAGGCAGGGATGTCGGGCCCAAAGTCCACAGAACCCTGTCAGCAACTCTGTCCCTGCGGATCACTTTTTGTTGCATGAGATTTGCCCTTCTGATGAGTCTGTCTCAACCTGGACTCCTTCTTTTTCGGGTGACCCCCTACTTGCTTGAGCCCCCCCCCCCAAGACCGCCCCAAGCAAAACAAACAACAGAAACCCCACAACTCCTTGCATTTGGATCATCTCTTGATGGTCCCCCATCGGACCCGGCCAAAAACCTCAAGCCAAAACCCCGCCCACAACCCCCGCGGCGCCTGTCCCTGCGCGGTGCTGCATCCGGGGCCTACGGAGCCACACTTCCGGCGGGCTCATGGGGAACTCCACGGGGAAGCGGAGGCACAGAGTGAGCCGGTTCAGGCTGCTGTCGAACATGCTGGCCTCGGAATTTGTTTGGCTTTTTCTCCAGCTTCCTCCTGCCAGTCCTCGGATAATTTTGATTTTCTCAGCTTGCTTCCGCATCGAGTCCTCGGAGTTTTTGTTTGTTTCAGCTTGCTTCCGCCTCGAGTCCTCGGATTTTTTGTTTGTTTCAGCTTGCTTCCGCCTCGAGTCCTCGGATTTTTTGTTTGTTTCAGCTTGCTTCCGCCTCGAGTCCTCGGATTTTTTGTTTGTTTCAGCTTGCTTCCGCCTCGAGTCCTCGTTTGTTTCAGCTTGCTTCCGCCTCGAGTCCTCGGATAATTTTGATTTTCTCAGCTTGCTTCCGCCTCGAGTCCTCGGATTTTTTGTTTGTTTCAGCTTGCTTCCGCCTCGAGTCCTCGGATTTTTTGTTTGTTTCAGCTTGCTTCCGCCTCGAGTCCTCGGATTTTTTGTTTGTTTCAGCTTGCTTCCGCCTCGAGTCCTCGGATTTTTTGTTTGTTTCAGCTTGCTTCCGCCTCGAGTCCTCGGATTTGTTGTTTGTTTCAGCTTCCTTCTGCCCAGAGTCCGGCATGACCCAAAAGCTGTCAAACATGCTGGCCTCGGATTGTTGTGTTTTTTCAGCTTCCTTCTGCCCAGAGTCCGGCATGACCCAACACAAAGGGGATTTGTTTTCAGCTTCCTTCCGCCTAGAGTCCGAAGGAAAACCCAACATACAGGGGTCATGCTCGAGACTCATGGCAATTGTGGCTTGGATTGGTGGGAAGGTGGGGGCAATTGTTTCCCATGCCTCAGTAAATCAGGCTTCCACCTCAGTAAATGGTTGTAATGGCCCCCTTGGGAATTGGAACCAAAGACTAAAACCTGCGTAACCCGAGCTCTTCTTTGCGCCATGGCGGCCTCTGCAAAAGAAACTTGAACAATAGGTCTACCATACTCCCCTGCAGATTGCCACCCCCAGCACCACAACTTGTTCAGGCCCGTGACCAATCTGCAGGGAGGTTTGTTTGCAGCCAGCCAAGGCCTTTTGAGTCTGTAAGATACGGGTCTATGAAGGCGAACACCCCCACTAGATGTCAGGGGGATTCAGAAAATCTTGCCCTCACAGCCAGTGGGAAGTAACCCGAAACAGAGATACTATGGGCCATCCCTACTTCACCTTACAGTTGGATTTCCTACTGGCAGCCTACCCAGCTTTTTCACAATCTGGGATGGGAGATGAGTGTCTGGTGTCAAAATAGGTGCTTGGACTAGTCTGGACTTCAAACAATTCCTGGCTTTCCGTTCCGCCCTTAATAAACCCAACCTGAAAACAAAGCTTCCAACAACCACGCACCCGTCTCATGTGGTTGATGACCATCATGGCTGACCCCTTCGGTACTTGGCGGCGTGCCCCACCGTTGCAACATGTTGAAGAGCACAAGTTTCTTCATAAGAACAACAAATAATAATACTAATAATAAGAATAATAATAAACAACATAATGATAATCATAATCATAATCATAATGATCATAATGATCATAATAATCATAATATAATAATAACAATACAACATTTGAACAACAAACAACGGCGAACATAGAAAGTCACCTGGTAAGCAAGTTGTCCACACCGACCATTTTTTGGTAGAAACCCTCCATCTACCTGGGTAACTTGGGATAACTAAGTTCCCCTCTGAGGTTCGCAGTGTCGGGTGAACAGCCCCCAAGTGACTAACACTTGACAATCAAAATATGAACATGGCCTTCCCAAATTCAAGGAAATCCAACGGCGGCAACTATGAATGACTGGGACCGCCCCTCTACTTGCTGCGAGCTCGGCGAGGAAAGAGCACTGGAATATATTGGAATGACCCCGGATTCCATCCATATGATGTCCCATTCGGGAATTTTCATCGTTCCACTTCCCATTCCCTGGGCTGCAAGTCTGCCTTGGGCTTTGATTGGACGTGGCACCGCCACACGTGGCAGCGCCCGAGTCTTGACTGCTATTGCGCAACGGATCTTTAGACTTTCACTTTTTGGTTGAAATCAAGTCGGGTTTTCCACTATATAAACCCCCAAAAAGTTTAGGGGGAATCCACCAACCCCCCCAAAAAGTGGTTTTCTTTCTGCCACGGGGAGTCGTTACAGCAACCGAGTGGGGCTTTGAGTCGAGTCGTTCTGACCCAGGCGCCGCCAGGTTCTCCAGGCTCTGCTGCAAGACGCTCTCCGGGGGGAAGGTCATCTCCAGCTCCCACTCCTCCCGGCCGGAGAAGGGAAAAAAAAAACGGTCTCGGTCCGTGGGGGGTTTGGGGGGGATGGTAGGGGTTGGGGGTTTGTTGGTGAGTTGGAGTTGGGAGTTGGTTTGGTTGGGGAAGTGGAGTTGTCGGGTTTGGTTGAGGGGGAAAGTAACAGCTCGCTGTGAGTAAATGGCCGTGTTTTTCTTTGTGCTGGTCTGAAAGGGGGGCCAAAAGGAAAGCCACGATGTTTGGAAGTCCCCGATTTTGAAACATACCTCTTAGCCCTTAGGCTGCCGTCATTTACGGCTCTCTTACTCCCGCTGTATTTACAAGGCTTGTCAAGTAGCTGTTTGTAGCAAAGCAAAACACAAGCTTGCTTTCCCAAGAGCAGGAAAACTGAACAAGGCTCCTGGTTCTTGTTGGACTGCTCTTGCCATTTTGACCACACCTCGTGCTTTTGTAGGTCGACATCAGGTCTCCATTCTTTTTGGGGGAGCCTCAATGAATTGCCAAGCAAGTAGCTGGGTGCTTAGAAGCGAGGTAAGGTTGACCCGGAACTCCAAATATTCCTTGATAGGGGGGTGTTCCCCTCCAACAGTGCTGATTCCAAACCTAGAGACACCCCCCTATGTATACGCTGGGGTTGATGAATCTTGGGATGTCCTTATGGAAGCAGGAAAGGAAACACATCGCTGGTCTCCTTCTCGGAACTTCAAACATGGGCAAACATCGGACCGTCCAACGGGCGCAAATGATTCCAGTCAGCACCTGAAGGGCGAGTTTCCCTTTCAGGGAAGTCATGCGACATCAAGTGCCGTCGGATTTCTGCTTACAGAGCCCTCACCCTTGAACCCCCCTCAAACACTGAGAGGATGCCAGATTGCTGCAAACTCCATCAAGGGCAAAACGATGAATCACCCACACGGCATGCCGAGCCAGCTGGAATGTCAAGGAATAACTGGTAAAAAGTGTGGGAAGTACTTGTTGACGGGGCAAAACAAAAACAAACAGCTTTCCAAAAAAAAAAAACATACCTGGAAACGCACAGCTTGAAACCCGGGAAACGCCCGGCCGAAGCGCACCGATTGTTGCGCTCCATGAGGTTGTCTTCTACCGGCTTGCAGCTCAAGATCTCCGGAGCCTCCTTCTGGGCGATGGCTGTCTCGAGCTGTTTCAGCCTCGAATCCGACTGCCCACCCAGGCTCCAAGCAGCGGAGTCCAATGTGGAATGCAAAGTATCCAACGCATCTGTACATACATGATACATGCATATGTTAATAATTATACATATATATAGGGAGAGAGAGAGAGAATTATGCAGACAGTAACTTGTATGTGTGCTTGTTTGCTTTTTGTTTCCTCGTTTTTCCCATTTCTCAGAGAGAGAGAGAGAGAGAGAGAATTGCACCATATCACAGAACAGTAAGACTCATGGAACCCAAGAGGCTATTCCTCACTGCGAGCCCAAGAGGCTCCAGCAGGAGCCGCTTCATGTTCAGCTTGGGCATCTCTGGCACCGGCATCTCCTCGAACTGGGTGGGCTGGGTGGGTTGGGGTGGGTTGGGGGTGGGGTTGGGTGGGGTGGGGTGGGGTGGGGTGGGCTGGGCTGGGTTGGGTGGGGGGCACTCTGGTTTTTCCGTTTGAAAAGTTGTTTGGCAGGGAGGTCCTGTTGCAACTTTCGGGGAAATGAGGATCCGGGCCATGGCTTGCCTAGCACGAGCCAACCATTGGGGCCATGAGCTTGGAAAACAAGAAAAAACAAAAGGCTTCGAGCAACTCAGTGCGACAAGAAACGGCAAAGGGAGACCAAAGGTTTAAGGGCTCAGCTTGAGAGCCAATGAGCTTGAAACCAGAAGCTCAGCAGACCCCCTTCAGGTCCCATTGGACGCCAGCCCAGGAAAATGGCGTGGGCCATATGTAAATATATAGAAATTTATATGTATATATACATATATATATATATGTAGAAAATATATATATATATATACATATGGCATCCTTTGGCGCAGGCGGAAACCCGTTTAGCTGAGCCCTCTCCAGATTCATTTCCCCCCTACACATCACACCAAGAGGAAGCTCACCCAAGAGCCACAAGGTGACATTTGCACTGGGGTGAGAAAGGAAAAGTACCTAGAGTCTCCATGACCCTTAAAAAATGGGGTCCTTACCCAAAATAAAGGGGTCATGTACCTATTTTTAAAGGGTCATGGAGTCTCCATGTAGGGCCGCCCGCCCCAATCGACCAAAGCTCCCTCGCTCGGCTCCCGAATCGTCAGTCCTTGCCGCTCAGGCGGATCTGCCGTTCGTTGCCCGTGCTCGGGTTGATCTGCACCATGCCTCGGCTTGGGGGAAGTTCACAGGGCCAAACAGATACGACCTTTTAACATTGTAAAGTGTAGGTGGCTTTGGAGGCATCCTTTGAGGAACCCTGAAAAGGTTAACGGGTTCTTGGTTGAAAGGGGGAATGAAATAAAATCATGAAAAAACAAACAACGAAGCAACAGTCAAGGAGACCAGATAGCTCTGGCATGGCAATGTCAGCCCAGATTCGTAAACTTCGATATTGGCCTCATGGGCTTGGCTGATTA